AATATTGAATTGGTGAGCCTGTAACATTTTATATTTGTTTATTGTTTTCATTTCGATAACATTTATATATCCATTTACTACACTTTCTCATGCCCGACCACACTCCCAAGCTTATTCGTATAAGGCCGACTGCCATATTGGCCAGACAATACGGAAACATGGTTTCTGTATGCCGAGGCAGATTTTCCTAGAACAGGGTGTCTCAGATCCTCATTCTCGATTTCTTACTGTCATACGGTCACTACCGCGAGAATTAAACAGGTATGTTACAGCACACATGTTTAATCCTGAAGTAAGTGATCCTTATGTGCTTCTTAAGGCCGCACTCTTGAAGAAAAGCGATCTCACAGATCGCCTGCGCCTAGACGAATTACTTCGTAACATCGGGCTAGGCAGCAACTCGGCTACTGAAGTCCTCGCACGCATGCGAGAAGTAATCGGTGCACGAACATTTGACGATGGTTTATTCCGAGAACTATTTCTCTCGAAACTACCACAACCGGTGCAAACCGTGTTGGTGACACTGCAGTCAGTCCCACTCGATCTGGCAGCCTCAGCAGATAAAATACTGGAGATTCCTAGCAGACCCGTCTCCAACGTACATTCTGTCTGCGACAGACCAGAGCGCCAGGATTCAGAAGTGACAAAGCTGTGCAACTCTGTGAAACAGTTGCTACGATCTCGAAGTCCTAGCTCACGTAGTACTTCACAGAAACGCACCTTGACGCATCGCAGCAACTCGCTTGGTGGCCCCAAAACTAAACCTAACAGGGTGGAAAACCCTGAATGGTGCTGGTTTCATAACACTTACCGAGACGAAGCCAGAAAATGTCGGAAACCATGCCGTCTTAAGAAAGACACAGACTCGGGAAACGGTCAGGCCGGCACGTGCTCCCGGCAACCGTAGCCGGCGGAAACAGCCATTTGCTCTACGTCACCGACGTTAAAACAAAAGTCCGCTACCTCGTCGACACCGGCGCAGAAGTTAGCGTCCTTCCCCCACCGACAAAGGAGCGTCATCACGACCCATCCATCAATCTTCAAGCGGCCAACCGCAACGCAATCGTGACATTCGGGAGACAGTATGCCTACCTCAACTTAGGTTTACGTAAACCTACCCACTGGATCTTCCTCCTTGCTGACGTCTCTATGCCAATCGTTGGCGTAGATTTGCTAAACCATTACTATCTACTCGTAGATGCTCGCCGTCGATGACTGACAGATGACAACACAAAGTTACCTATTGGCGGCATCATCTATGTAGGTCCGAGTTTAGCCATCGTTAGAACCAAAAAATAAGGCGACGCGTCCTACCAAGCAGTTTTGGAGAAATATCCAGAGCTGCAGCAACCGAAGCACACTCTTCCATGCATAACCAGTAATGTTATGCATCACGTCACAACCACAGGTCCACCTGTGGCATCCAAAGCGCGCCGTTTAGCCCCCGATAAGCTTCAAACGGCGAACTGGGCATCATGCGACCGTCAAACAGTCCTTGGGTGTCGCCATTGCACATGGTTCCCAAAAAGGATAGCAACGACTGGCGTCCAACCGGTGGTTACCGAAGGCTTAACGCCAAAACAACCCCGGACTGCCACCCGATACCTCAATACAAACCCTCGTACATTTTGCCTTTTTTTATATCAATTTTTATTACCATGTAATGAAACATTAAAAAAACGGTGAAGATAGGCGTAAATTTTTATTTTTCGATATGTTTATATGCAAATAATTCCCATTTTTACGAAACGTTCTCGTGGTTGCTCTTCCAAACAAACCAAGCTACGGTTTACAAAAGAAAACCTTAAGGGTAAAAAATCACTGCCTCAAGGTTTCCCTCAAGGCTCGCTCCTTGAATAGTGACGTGTTTCGCTCGTCTCTCAGCTTTTGGATTTTTCCACAATGAAAAACTCCCACTTGCAATACTCAATCTAAAAACATCGAACGTTTGCAGCACTTCTGTCCGTCCACGCACCTCACCCCTGCGCATTCGTCAGCTCACTCCTCAACAGTTGAAAATTGGCATTATTATTCCTTTGAACCAACCGGTCTACCTCCTGTCAGTGGTTCTTGGGCGTTTCAACTGCCAAACTGCCTTAGCTCTCGGTTCTCCTCGGAGGTCATTCCCCAGGAAATATCTTTCCTGGTTATACATACGCATCTGGAGCTTACGGTTAAACTCGTTGGTCAAGAGCAGAGGATCAAGTGACAAGTGTCTGAAGGTGAGCCAACATAAATTATCTTCCCTTTTCTATTCTGTCCTTTTGCTGCATTCAGTCTTCAACCCTCTTATTGTTGTTAACTACTTGTTTTCCCAAGAAGTTTATATCATAGCGACATGTCTGCCCAAAACGCTAGGTCTGAAGCTTTGACACGGATAACGCGGTCGTGCACAAAACGGCCAGTAACACCCTAAACAACACACTAGTCTGTACTAGAAGACAAACAGAGGTAGGGCAGAACACCGAACTTCTAAAGAAGTGGCCAACCCATGTTTCTAGAATTCCAGTCGCCATCAGACAGGTGACACAGAGTAGCACTAGCCCGTCACAAACTAGTCCTATCTTGAGCAAGGATCATACCATGCCTGAAATAGAAGACGACGTAAAAGGCTTCAGAACAAGGCAGCCACAAGCAGTTCGCCACAATCCGTAGCACCTTATTCATGGAAGGAAGGCTGTATTACGACACCCGATGGCTGCAGTGTTTGCACCAAAGTTGTTTCGGTAGTCGATGAGGCATTTGCATGCAACCTATGTCAACGATGGGCGCATTGCCACTGCGATACCAAAGTCCCCCGACAATACTATAAGCTGATGAAGAGACAACCATGCAAGTGGTTCTGGTACATCTGTCCAGAGTGCAGGAAAATGCCCGCACTCCGCACAGAAAGCCTGAAGGAGATGCTCTCCGCCACGCAAAAGCTACCAGCATCCTCGAATAAAGTAGGGTTAACACCAAAGGATAACACAGAGAGACCTGGAAACAGACCTAGAGCTCCAGCTGTGGGCACGCCACCTCGCGTGGGGACCATATTAGGTCAAGTCTCCATACCCCTACCCGGCCCCAGGGGACGTCAAGCGCATGGCCAAAGACATCGACCGCCGAAGCCTCTACGAAACCCATTCCGAACACCCCACACACCGTGACTGAGAAACAACCAGTGGAATTACTCAAACCCATTGGGAAGTCGGGCGTGCCACCCACAACGAACCCAGGTCACAGGAGGACCAACTCGATCATTTTGTTCAACGTCGATGTATCGACAGACTCATTGTTGGTCGAGAGGGAACAATTTGACAGCCGAATGTGGACCGACTACTGTCAGATGCTGGGACTCCCTCCCCTCCCTGCAACTTTATGTCGCCTTTCTCGAGGAAGCCATGCACCCCGAGATAAGCCACCCCCTTTACGTGTGTCCCTAAATACCGCCAAAGAGGCTGAAGACACACTCCTCCTCTCGCGACAACCGGACGTTGTTAATGCCTGTAAAATTCGGGCCAGGCCTGACAAGCCATGGTCAGTAAGAGAGGAGGAGAGAAAGTCAGCGGTTGGAAATCCCAACAGAAACAACACTATAGTTGTACATGGGATTCCAGAATTGCCAAGTGACAGCTCGGTCAAAGATCGGTACTTTCACGACGTCCAACAATGGCAATGGCTCTCAACCAAAGTTGGTCTCAACAGTATACCGGCCAACAGCGTCAGTAGACTGCCAAGGCCAGCGCACCTGAAGACCATACCCAATCCCAGACTACTTGCCGTCCAGTTCGACTCATATGCCTCCCTCACAGACGTTCTGCACGCATGGTATAATGCGAAAGATCGCATGGGTGGCTCAATACGTATATGTGAAAGTAAGCCTAGACCCACAAGGCAAGAGGAGAGACGGCAACCACCAAGACCTCTGGAGTCAGTGGTCGTCACACAGGCGCTGACCAGTGAGTTAGATACATCAAGTAAAGAAGCCACCACTGCTACAGCCCCCACCCAAGTTAAGAACAAAACACAAAAAAACGGAACAATGCCAGTCCTATGAGGACTGGCGAGGCTAAATCAACCACGTAAGCGCTCATCCCGCGAAAATACACATCCAGACCTCCCCTCTCATCAGGCACACTCTAATATGTATGTACAGCAACGTTAGGGGGCTAAGAGGGAAGGTAGCAAAATGAGGACGCTGCGTGAACATCAGCACTCCGACATCATATTCATCACCGAATCCTGGCTCTCATCGGACATCTCCGACGAAGAGATGCGTGTTGCTGGCATGGAACTCTTCCGCAGGGACAGGGAACATAGAGCAGGAGGGGGAGTGGCTATCTACGTAAACTCCTGTTTAAAGGCAAGGATGGTTAGCGATACGGCCTTAACCCAGCTCCCAGAGTCTCTATGGTGCTACTTCACTCTCTTCTTTATTCTCTCTTCATTCCTTTACCACTACCTTACTATTCTCTTTCAGGTACCTACACAGACAGGAGTCATGGCAGTTCTCTAAACTTCCCAGCAACCCGTAGCTCCCTAATCACTCTACAAATTACAACCTACTAACCCACAAAACATCCACCTCACCGAAGCTAAAAGCAAGAAAGCAGAGGGGATTTCCTCGTCCACTGCAGGAGTAAACCGAACAACTGGAACCAAGCCCTAAGAACTAGACGCGAGAGATCAAAAACTACCAGTTTTCTACGCTCGCACTATCAATATTGGATATTGGATTAGAAATGCTGTAAGCAGATGAACCGTAATGACTTCTGCAACCACCAAGAGAGTATAACCAGACAAAAAGAACTGTACCTCAAGACCAAGAAGGGAGAGATCAGAACTGCAAGTTTTCTTTACTCGCGCTATTAATGATTGACGGTCTTAAGATAACAACAACCGAATGATCCTAAGAACTAAAATGGAGAGAGAAACTATCGGGTTCTTTTTCTCGCACTACTCACGTTGAATGATGTTGGATATTGCGTGTTGGAAACAGATGGTGTACGCTATACATACGGCCTTCAAACGACCTAAGATATGCACACTATTCGAAGTTTCACGAAGACTCACAACGTTTTGGTTGTAAAAAACCACACTTCATGGGTGAATCATGTCGTTTGTGCTCTGGATCACTGGTTTGTCATGGTGAATGTGGAAGAAGCCATGCTTCATATGAAAACGGTAAACCATTTTACATGGACTGTCTGTTCTTGTTTAATTTATAGTATGTTAGTTTTGACGAAAGTAAATTTCAGATAGTAAATTGTTTATATTTAGTTAGGTCTACCATACACCCCAGATCTCATCATTTTAACTCCTACTGACAGACTACAGGGCGGGAAAGCACGATCACTTTCTTTTATAACACAGTTTCAGTCAATTATAATTTGGTAAAGCTAGATTTAAAAACGAGTAAAAAGCATGAGGCTGTATCAAGGCTTTTAAGTTTAGATGTACTCGCCAGTCAACCATTTCGTCTGGCATAATAGTCTAGCATTGGGCCCAGCAGTGGGCCATGAATCTACAGTGGGACTAAGTATAGCATATAAGGGACCAGGTGTTTGGCCACTGTGAAATTGAAGCCACACGTTGAGCTACGTGGCCCCAATTGTGTAGCAGAATATGGGCCCGAAAATCTGTTGGGGACAGACGTCCATCCATATGTAAAAGCGTAGAGCCAATTGTGGTGAGTTTAAGGCTGAATGTAGAGCTAAAAAACATCGGACCAGGCGTAGGAAAAATGTTGCGAAGACGTGGTGTTTGACCGTACATTTTCTCCACGTCTTCTATTGTGAGTGACCCGACTTCCATATTTGGCCAAAAGAAAATGTTCGCTGGGGTAATCATTAGTTCATACTGCAGGGACGAGAAATAGGGGGAAATTATTGCAGTTACTAACCTTGGTGAGACTAAACAACGCCAGATACACTGCAATCAGAGAACAAGGTATCTCATTTTACTACCGTTCACCAGCTGTATATGGTTAGAAGTAACGATAGGTATCAAAACTAAATTAGATAAGCTATTTCAGGCTACTGTGTTGTCACACTTAGGACAGTGTAAAATTAGGAAACTAAAAGTACAGAGAAAACAAAATATTCACATTGAAATTATTTACTGTTTACGTAATATACAACAGGAGACGCAGTAATTGTAAAGAAGGGATACAGAATGTCAACGAGTAAATAGTACTGACTAGCAGACACGCAAAAAAATATCATCCATCATCACCCAGTGGGTTGAAGTCGTTGGATGAGCAAAGTAATTATACACTTAGGGTTAGTGAAGGTCAAATTACAGTTACAATGGAAGTAAGAGGTTAGTCGCAATCGAAATCAAACAGCATCCAACTGCTAAAAGGTGGGTTTTTGTTTGTCTTGCATTCGAAAGAGGTTCAATATTTGATAAAACAAGCAAAAGGATCAAAAGAACACCAAAATAATTTTTTCCTGCAGCCAGACTATTACATGCTTACTGCACCACTTCCGATTGGATGAGTATCCTGCTTTTATAACCTTCAAGTATGTTCATGAGTTTACGTTCAGTTGTGGTAGCACTTGTATTTCAGAGACAAAAGAGGTTATCCATGCCGTTCTCTGAGAACATTTCTGAAGAACTCCTGCCTAAAAGAAATTAGGGTTCTAAGTAGTAAAATCAATAAACAACGCTTGTATGCCGGAAACCAGTTTGATACTTCTAGTGGTTTGAAAATATTGAGTTTGCCTAGAATGCCTGAACTACGCTTCATAGGAGCGATTACCACTAAGCACTCAACCAAACTCATACATAGAGACAGAAATATTGATCACTCTCTCACTTCCATCGTAATTTTAATTTGATCACTAACATAAACCACATGGTTATTTTACTTATCCAACGACTTTAACTCACTGAGTAGGTCTCAAGCTTAAAGGTGTCATCTTTTTGCATGTTAAGTAGACTGCTAATCCATACTATTTGTTCATTGTGACATTCTTTACCTCTTCTTTACAATTATTACGCCTCCTTTTGTATAGTACGTAAACAAAAAACGATTCTGATGTACTATTCACCATGTTCTAAGTGTTGAGAGGCTGCCATTGCTGAAAAAATCTTGTTTAGTTTCTTATTCAGACTTTGAATCCCTTATAGTTATAATCAGAAAACCATTCCTACTGACGTTAACCAAGCTTTACGTATTTATTCTAGTTTTATTTACCAGCGTCATCAAATTAGTGTTTGTCAATGTTTTCCTGACTGCTTAATAAGGCACAAAAAGAAAGGTAAAAAACAACTGTCAATGTGTACATGTTTCTGTTTCAGTTTATTTGATCGTGTTTTAATTATTCACATATATCACCTAACCTACATCATCCAGATACTTTTGAATTTGTTCCACAGAGTTTATCTTCATTTTTTTCTTGTTCTAAAACTGGTTTCTCAGGTAAGACTACCAATGTTCCAGCGGTGATGCGGGCAAAGGCGGCCTTCAAACGTCCCCTTTCACACAAACAAGGAAGAAGAAGCTTTAGAGAAGTTTGCTTTCAAAAATTAAAGAACCTTTAGACGAAAATAAATTCTCTACAGGAGAAGCACAATTTTATACTACGGTGTTTCAAATATAAAGAGTGCATGAAGTTTGTACCAGATCTGGATAAACCTCTAAGACCTGATGGGCGTACTGCGTAATGTGAAGTTTAATCAAAGTGTATTTCTTTTTAGTTGCTATTGTGGAGAAGTCGAAGACAAACACTATAATTGTATGTCGTGAGTACAATCCTCATATCACATTTATAGATGAAAACATGGTCAATAATCATGATCATAAATGGTCGGAATCAGAGGATATTAAGATTATTGGACCTACAAATGCTTTTGGTCAGATTGCGTTCTCGGATTCACTTACTCAGAAACCTACTGAGGTACTTTTTAACAATTGATCAGTTGTACAGCGTTAGTAATTTTTGAAGTATGAGTTCATTCAGTACTGCAGGTATATAATCGTAATTGACGTGGCTTTCTGATCATTCAGTATTCTAATATTAAATCATAGGTCCAAAATAATTGCTGCTTGTGTTCTGCAAGTAGGAAGTATGACTAGGCCTCAGTCAATAGGTTAATTTTGGTCCACTGGAGCACCATTCAACTAAGTTGCCCTGAAATTCTTAAAATTTAAAAATGCAAATTTAAATAGATGTTTAACATTTTAATAAATCTAGTTTTTAAAAAAAATAGTGATTCATATTACCATTAATAATCATTCTTCTGCATTTGGGGCTGTAAACGAAGTGTTTATCTACCATGCTGTTTATAGGTTACAGAAAACAAATATCACTTGCCGAAGTTTGTACACTATAAATAATAGCCGTACCACAACGGCTATGAAAGAAACCGCATTGTTGGTATTTTTGTTAATTACGCAAGAGCCTGTTGGACAGTAATTTAATAGATAAAGTTATAACCTGGGAGTATGCTTGTTGGATGCTTTTTAGTGTTTTTAACTTAGTGTTACTGCAGTGTAGATTAACAGTCAGCGTCGGCCATTATCGAAGACGATTTTTTTTAATAATAGTAAAGTAAAACTATAAGGAAAAGTAATCTGACGCTTTTCAGCACTAGGCATAGTTATTGTTGAGCGGGATGTTTCGATAAATTCAGTGTAACGAGCCAAATTAAGTAAGGAGAATTAATTGTAATGTCAAAGTAATCATTATTGTTTACCAAGTGATCACCATCCTGCAGATTCACAACTGAACTCATCTTCTATTCAGAATAACAGTAGTTTGGGCGAACAGTTTTCAGTAGCTACGTCTTGCCGTTATACAGTTATGAACCCATGAGAACAGATGAAATACAATAACCAGTGTGAGACAACGTAAAATTATTTCAGTATTGAAACAGTCAGTGTTATGGGTAAATGGAGATCAAATCAAATGGGTGTAAGTCCTTATCGGGTGGAACAGAAATCAGTCTGGTGTCAGTTCTGCAGTAAAATCAGTGTGAACAGAACAATCAACATATATAGAGACAAAATGTAGATAATGATTCATTTACATACGTGCATCTGGGATATGAACGTGTATATATTTGTTTACTGTAGACTTCATAGTGATCATCTAGTGATGAGATATATTTAAGTAGGGTGAAAATCATGTGAATACAATGGCGAAATTAAAAATGTAAGGCGTCATGTAAGGGTTGAAAATGACTACTGGTAGTAGCATGAACAAACAAGGACTTTCAACCAAAACAATGAAATTGAATGATAATCAATGTAATAGAGATAAATTAAAAGAATGGGGTAGGAGGCTTAGATGTAAAAATTACGGTACAAAATTCATAAAGAATGTGTTGGTGTTCCTATTGTGGAGCAAGTGAGTTGCACCTATTTCTTCGGAAAACATCAGGTTTTCTTGTATCGATCCCTACAGCCTCGGCTGTGGATTAGAGGTGCAGTCGTACCTATTCGGGGAGATTGGAAACACGATGTATCACCGAGAAGGCATAGTCTTACTTGATTTGATGCCCAATATCTACTATATGGTATAGGACTGGATTGTTAATGAACTTTGACATATTTTTCCCTAACCAAGCTGGAAAATATTCAAGAGCGTGCATTGGTAGAGCCTTTTGAGTAAGACCCATGTAACTAGCTCCACAGAGCAATTGAACTCATAAATGCCCATTAAAGTGACCATTATTGGCCAAGTATCCATGGTTTACTGTGTCGGTAATGCTTCTGTTGAAAAACTGACAAACGTTTCTCCGCTATGAACGTTCTTTTGATAGATCTACTCAATTAGCGTGTTTGAATATCAAAGGAAGTATCTCTATTGGAACTTATTATAAGATATAAAAGTCCCTTAGCAACGTTATTCATCTTTATTATCTCTGTAGGTCTCAGTGTGTATTTGTTTATAAAGTTTACCGGATGATCATTTTGGTGCAGTGGTGTCTTTAGCTTGTGCATCTCTTCCACATAGTCATCAGAACGTGTATTTCGCATTCTGTAACCTGGACATTTGACTAAACTTTTTGAATTAGAGTAAAGTTGTGCAGATGAATATATTGACTGTTCCTTGTGTTGTTTCTAAAAAATATTCCTCTCAACTTGCCCGTCCATCATCCTGGGGACGAGGGCATCTAAGAATGATGCACTATTCCTCTATTCATCCTCATAGATGGCTTGATGAGCTTTATTGAGAATATCTGAAATATCGTCTTTGTTGAAGTCATTGACACAAACAATGATAGTGTCATCTACATACGGGCAGTAAGTAGTTTACTGTGATAACGTGGTTAGTGAAAAGCATTTAAGAATGACAAGAAGACAAGACGAGAAATGGTTTTAGAAATTAGATGGTTGGTTCTACTGATCAGACATTCAGTTTGCCAAAAGTATATTTACAGAGTTACAGCTGTATGGGCTGTTTTTCTTCGAGGCTGGTGAAGATTACTCATCTGTCCATTATTCCTACACAATTGAACATGGCTATGAATCCCAGTAAAAAGCATAACTACACTTTAATGGGTTCATTAGTCGGTTTAGTTTGTTCTGCTACACTGTAAGATATGAGTTTTGTTAAATAAAGGTAGTAAAATTTAAGGATCATAAAGTTATTGGTTTAAAAATACCATGCACTCTGTCGAATCAGTTGAAAAAACGATTGATAAGCCTAACGGATGCTTTCCAACAATATGTAGAACAGGTTTTTGGAAGAGCCTTTGAAGAACTAAAGATTGTTGTAATATTTTGTGTGCTACAATTATCAGTGTGACGGTTTATGATATGATCTGGTTGTCCAGGATCTTGCTATCACTAGGGTACACTGATCGAGAATTCTCCTAATATCCGAAAATCTAGATCCATTACAGATTCAGTGGTGTTTCTGTACAACTTAGGATTGTTCAGTGACAAATAATTTTTAAGAATGTATAGTTTATGCTACACTCTCGTATACAGACTAAGGTTTTGCTTCACTTGGCAGCAGTCAAATGTTCATTTTCTTCCTATGTGGTTTAGTTCATCTTTTTGGGACCGTTATAACTGGAGTGTAAAAGCAAATATGTTCAACCTTGGTAACCATGTTGTCTTACGTAAGCAGCATCTACTTTAACGATCCGTTATTTAGCGATTCAACCGTCTTATCAACAGCGTAACTTAGTAGCCATGTGCAGCTTTATGTACTAGACCGTGAACTCCACCTATCATATAAGGCTTAATGGTAATGGTTGACCTTCCAGATCGTAATGGGTGAAAATATACTTGAACTTTTAACCTGCTGCTTGGAGTTAAAAGCCCAAATGAATGAAATATATGTGCATCATTTTATCTTTTTATGCTGAAAGGATAGTATTCATAGCTTTTTCGTATTATCCGCCGTAAAGCATTTGAAGGTTTATATATATATATATATATATATATATATATATATATATATATATATATCGCTCTTTGATTACCAACGATCAACATGTCCTCGAAGGTTGATGAAAGCTTAAAGAAATGAGCAAAGTGTAGTCAGAATTGAACTTTCTAGACCGTTAAATTAAGTAAGAATAATGTTAATAAATGGATTTTTCTCAAAGTAATTACTCTGCCTAAAATACATGTATTTGTCATTAGTGTATCGCGTTTTTCTCCTTATATAAATATGAGCATTAAATTATGTCCGAAACGTTACCCTGTAAATAATACTGTTTCACTGTGACACTTCTAATACACAGACTAAAATGCAATCGAGCCCTGCATTTCGTTCCCCCCTTTTCGTTTTTTACTTCGCCACGTTGAATTATATTTTTGGAAGTCTCTTAGCTAGGATATTCTTGTAGTTATGCATTCCAACTTCATTTTGAGTAAATTCACCTTTTGCAAATCATCCTTACTTACGTGATAGACATTTATTCATAAAATATAATCGTAATAGAGCCATAAGAATAACTTAGTAAGCAGTTTAGACTAGTGTTGGTTTCACTGCTCTTCAAGATTCCGTTTTCATCGATAAAGTTATCCATGTTACTTTTGGGCATTATTCTCACTTTGTATATTCGTTAACTGACTTAATAACCTAATCGACTCACTTGTAATGACAGATAGTGTTCTCACTGATGTTTTAGTAGTGTTAATGTAACGCACATATATGGACAGCCAAAATAGGATTCTCCAAAGTTATATTTTGTGTTACCTTCGTTCTTGTTTCATTGTACGAGACTAACTGTGGTGCATTTCAATCAGAAATGGAGACATTTGACTGTAAAAATAGCAAGCTTTTTGAAAAATTTCAGAACTTCACTAGTTTCCACTATCATGAGACTCTTGAAGTGGTTATATAGTTCAAAAATCCTTATAAAGTTAAACACAATTTTTCAACTTCAACAAAGTTGACATTTCCCATTTTGATTTAACACAAATTTAGACAAGATGATTTCATAACTGTATCATCCTATCCTATAATTGGACTTCGTTGTACAAACAATAACTAGTTTACACGTCATCTAACACCTAAGAATAGATACTAGAGAATTAAATAGATATTGTTTCGTTTCAGGATAATTAGTTGACAGCTACTATGCAGTTTAGATTTGGATGATTAACAGAATAATCCATTTTTACATGGAATGACGTCATAAAGAAAACAGTAAAAGCTAGAATGAATCCATTTGTAGTTATAAACGCAGAACTGAAAAAGAGTTTTTAATTATTTCTGGATTCATGCGAATTTAAGGAAGATATTTAGCATAAACGTTTTTATCCATTTGTAGTGTTTTTTTTCCAGGAACACATTATTCAGTTGTGGTTCACTAGCTGAGTCACCATTTCACTTACGACAATTTAAAATTCTACTTTTTTGTAATTTTAGTTTTTAAAGTATCTACAGTCCTGTGTATTAGGAAACTTGGAGTGGTTACGTTGCGCATTACCAGGACTATTCAAAAGCGTTAGAATTTCTATCCAGTATGGCGAATTTTTATAGTTTAGGCCACTGTTATTCTCATAAGAGTGTTTGAAGGGGGATCAGCTAGAAGCAATTGTTCTTACAGCATTTCTAGTAATTCACTAACCTTTTCTTCATTTTACCCTCAGTTCATTAGAGAGAGACACTGTTGATTATCTGGGGTTTCCCACTAAATTTTACACGTTATCACGTAAACACTTTTTTCTCACCTTACTCTGCTGAAAGAAAGCGGAAGTGAAGTCTGCGCGTGCTCATTTGGGAAGTGAGGATGACAGGTACGTTTGTAGGGAGGAAATAGGTGAGCATTTACATGAATATGGTAGTAAGGCTCATCCTGAGGATGCCTGGCGTCATATAAGTCTACTGTAAGAACAGCGGCAAAGAAAGTTGACAATCTACACCTGAAGGTTAGCAAACGTCAATGGATTTCTGCAACGTCATCCAAACTGATTGATATAAGAAGACTGATTCCAGCTGGCTGTGACTACGATGAAGAGCGAATGCAGCTCAAACGCAAAATGGTATGATGGTAGAACATACCATCATGGAATAGGATAGGATGCTGATAACCTCTCAAGGCAGCTGGCTGGAAAGTTGGTCGGAACATTTTGAATCCGAGTTCAGCTGATCCGCAGCAGCGCTTCAGTTACCAAGTATCCTCCTTGAACTTGGTTAAAACGTAGATGTTAGTCTGCGAAATCTTCCCGAAATAGAGGAGATTGTTTCTAACCTGAAACGATGCATAGCGGTAATACTTGATAGTTTGCCACTCAAAGTATTTAAGCGTGGAGGTAGGAAATCGCTAACTAGAGTAACGGAGGTACTAGGTAGTGTATGGGACTCAAAGTTAGTGCCATCAAACTGGTCTGCTTCACTGGTCATTCCAGTCTATAAGAAGGAAGATAAGTCTTCTTGAGAAAACCATATGGGAATCAGATTGACTAACGTCGTTTCCAAGACCTTGTGGTCCATAGTATCCTGACACCTGGCTGGAGCTTAAGAACAGCCACCTCGAAAAAACCAGACAGGTTTCAAACCTGGACAAGGATACGTCACTTAGGTTTCCACCCTACGAAAGCATCTGGAATACAAACATACTTACCGGCCAGTGGCCGATACTACATATTTCTTAGCCTGAAAGTGCCATTCGACTCTGTTGAACATGAGCTATTGTGGCAGTGTCTGACAATAAAAGGAGTAGCGAACAAGTATGTAGGGCTAATCAAAACTCTACTTGAACTTAAGGTGCCGTGCGGGTGTTTGTGTAGAGTTATTATCTGAATGAGCGATATCTAGTGGTGCCCGCCTGTGATACTCACTATCCACGGTTCCTATGTAATTTCGCTATATATGGACTAATGGAATTAACCTTGAGTAAGTCTACTCCCTGAAGAGTATCTGGTCGATTTGGAGTGCGCAGACGACACAGTCTTGTTAGGTGAAGAGCTGACGAAATGCAGGGTCTCGTGAACTCTTTGAGCAGAAATGTAAGTATGACTAGCATGAGTCTTGCGCCTGTCAAATATAAGGTGATGCTTCAGAACTGGTGTGAGGCAACTCTCAATTTAACGATAGGATGTAAAGTAGTGGGATGCATCAAACACTTCACGTACCTGGGAAGTTGTACCAGCCTGATATCTGGTGCTATCTGGCAAGATATCCAACCACCTGATAAAGAATGAGTATGCTGCACTGCAGTCCTTTTTGTCCAGTCATGCAGCTGTGAGATATGGCGGTTAAAAGTAAAAAACTGAATAAAATACAAGTTTTGACTACAGGTGTCTTCCTAGGATTGTACACTCATTGTAGGATCACCGTGTGAGCAATGTCCAGGTCATGCAAAAGGTACTTATGCTTAGCATGACTAAGGTAGCTTGTGCATACTGAGCTACCGCTTACTTTGAAATGCAATACTTGGAGAAGTTGGATTACGTTGAAAGAAGGCTCATGGTGATCGAACTAAAGAATAGCACTAATCTATAAATTCTTGGTCTGAGCAATGTAGGTAGGTGTAGATTGCTTGGTTAGAGTTCTCGAAATGATAGAAATCAATGATTGGAGACACTCAGTGACATGGCTCTAAATCGGTTATCTAAGCGCGGATGTATTAATTCTTTGACGTCTTGCAAAGCTTGAATGTTTTGACAGACCTTCATTTTAAAAATCCTTCTTTTCCCATACACCTTTGTCTACTTTGATATCAATCTTTTTCTGTCCACTTGTTCTTTGCATCCTGCTGCGAGATATAGCAACTTGAACTGATTCACTTGTGTATGAGGTTCTATGTTGATTTCGTTTATCTATCCGTTCATTAACTAGCGTGATCATGAATTCATGAATTATAATTTTATGTAATGCAGACACTATTACATCGTTGACTCATTAGTAACCCAGTTTTAAATCTGTCATACATAAGATCCGTCTCCACTTTGCTTACCGAAGTTTAGATGCAGCGTTCTTTTATTTGATGGGTATTCACAATAACTGGGATTTAATTCCTCTTGATAGACGCTATGATAGAACACAGCCTTCCTATCTTATTAATATCTCATTCATGCTTATCTGGATATCTTTAAAAATATTGTCTAAAGATTTCAATTTCACCATGAAATTTCTGAAATTCTAACTTTTGATCGAACTTTGAATGAATGTTCAAATTATCTGAGTTACAAAATTGTGGCTTATATTTTGGCTTATTATAGTACCCCTTCGTTCTTTTTTTAAAGTTTCTTCTATTCTGCCGTATCGGTTTTTCTTAAACAGATAGGTTAATACTATCAACAAATAATTTAGCTTTAGTGTGTAATGGTCCAGATGGTCACACGTCAAGTTAGAAAGCAACAAGATGATCTACAAGTAAACGGAATTAATGTAATTAGAGTTCGTTCAAACCCATGAGATGAAAAGAAAAAAGGTTAGAGTAGATAACAAAGTTCAACATAATGAATATGAATAAGACAAAACGGTAGTGCATTTACATCACTTCTCTTCATCCTCAGGTCGGTTTCTGTTATCTCATGAACCCTAAGCTGTAGTTTGTGTTGTGATTATGGGCAATACATTATCACTTTAAATAATACGATATAGTAATATCACCGGGTGTTATGTAAATAAACTAATCTAGTATGGGATTATGCTGTACATCATAGGTCAGGTTTCATTCTCACTCTATTCTGTATATTTACATTTTCCAACACTGCTCAGGTCAGCAGTCAGATACTTCAAAAACTGGTTACCCTGAGCTTTTGTTTAACCTAATCCTACTTCAACCAACATAGCGCATTTGATTATATAGTGGATCAGAACACCTAATACATGTCTCAGTCGATGAAGGTATACAGGATTATCAACTGACCTCCCTTGTTTACCTAAGTCTCCATGCTTAGTCTCTACATTGTTAACGTGGTGTTTCCATCACTTTTAAGTAATACTACAAGATATACAGGTAAAATTAACGTAGAACCTCTCATAGAAGTGCATCGGTTCAAGTTGCCACACCGCAATAAAATGCAAAAACAATTGGATAAAAAGTGACGCTCCTAAGTTAGTGGTGACAAAATATCTGGAGCCTCATTTCCTATTTTTTCGACGGTAATATTTCATAAGCATAGGTTTAGACAGATTGAACTGCTGTACAGTACACTTGACCCTCAGTAGGCATTCGGATATGATATTGGGATTACAAGTTAGTGAAAGCCAATCAGTAATTTTGTCTCGTTATCTAGGTTTCTTCGGATATGTAAACTGTTTCGATAATAAGCTCAAAGGAGAACTCAACACTTTTGAGAAGCTAACGTGATAACAGTTACTCATAGAGACTCATAAAAGAAGTGCAAGAGAACATATAAGGTGAGAGAGTAAATGTGACAGCTGAGAAAAGGCCTATTTTCTGTTAGATTTAAGGATGACGAGACGGCTGGAAGAATCATTCACTAATTAAATGTCATACTGCAAACTACATATACAGCTGCCCAGTTTGCTCCATTATTTCAAATAAACTCATCACGAAGCCAATTAAAGGACGGTACTGTCTCTTTCCACATTACCTATCAGGTAACGTGTACATGCAAATGCACATACGTCGAAAGAACAGAGTAAGGGATCTTGGGTCATTTCCCGGAATTTACGGACCATAGGTTCATATGTCTTCAGTAGTACGACTGCTTGTTACCAAGGGATATTAGACATCTACTTTCATATGGTTTAGGATTGGCCATCCATTTTTCCTATAAATAGGTAATTTTTCAACTGACTTCTACTTCGGATTTGATGCTTTTATCTTAGCATATATTCCCCTCAAATTAGTAAGTTTTTTTAGCATGATGCTTAATTGTAAGCCTCGTATACATCGAAAAATGAGACTGGTTTTGGGCACTTGATAAAGCACCTAGATATTAGTGGTTTGGTGAACGGCGGATAACTGGTCGATATACACACGATCAGATCTCAGAGATATTTGGTTTTCTCAGGTTGAGCGTTGGGTCATGATAGGAATGAAAATCGTGCGCAATTTACTTGTTTATCTTAATCGTCCATAAATGTTACAAGATGAGTTTTCTTGTGTTTTAAAAATTGGATTATTCAGAGATTAAGCCCAGTTAGAAGGTATCATGCTTGATTCTCATACTCCAATCAGGTAGGACGATTAAAAAAGCATCTACTATGATCTCACTATTGAGTAACGTTTTCATGTTCTCTTTAAAGACTTGGTCTTAAGAATGTAAAGCTCTTTTTCTACTTTCTTTTACTTGTTTCAAACAAATATTTTACCGTAGTACCATAGAAATGTGTGTTCTGGCCACAGATAAGCCTACAGTTTATATATATATATATATATATATATATATATATATATATATATATATATATATATATATATATATATCTTCCGCTTCTGGAATTTATTACCGCTCATGGTTTTCTTAAATCTATGGGCCCAACTGTTTTATATTTCAGTTTGTTCGAATATCAGATGAAGATGTACTGAAAGACGTAATGGAACTGATCAAGAATTACTGGAGAATGATGGAACCCGAAAAGCCAAGTTTATGCATATCTGTCATTGGTGGTGCAAAGAATTTTTTGCTTGAAGGACACAAGAAAGATGTTTTTTATTCGGTTAGTTATTATTTATATTTATTGTAATTTTAGATTTTCTGCACCAAAGATTCCACAAACTGTTTTTATTACAACAATTGTGCATGTTTAAGGTATCTATTCATATTCCATCGGGAAATACGGCCATACAGGTGTACTTTTATCAAAAGAAATGTACCGATTATTCCTGCATACCTTACTTTCTTTTTAGAGATATCTTTTTTAAGTTAGGTACGTGTTTCATGGAATGCACATAGACTTATAGCGAAATGAAATAATCCGAAAGTTGGTTCATCAGTCGCTATTCGAAATACCTGCTTGTATAATTGAGACATACGGTTGGGTAGCATTATCTCTTGAATTCTAGGCAGAAGGTCGGTATGCAGTGAAAAAAATGCCAATTCAAGAAAAAATATCGTTCCTATAACTGTGCGATGTTATGAAATGACTGCATTTGCACTTCTTATCAAACCGGGGTAGAAAGTGATTAGTTCCAGAGCCTTTGGGAAGGTATATATCAGGTATGTGTGAGTCTGTAAAATTAACTGTTCAAGTCCAGTTGAGTTACTGAATAGTAATTTTGAAATCATACACATTCCGGCAAATATAGTATTCCCACCTACGATGTAATTGATTACTAAGTACATCAATGTACAATGAAACGTTTTCTCTAGGTAATGGATCTTCCTGACAATCATTGTTGCGCATATTCTTCCGAGCTATCTTAGTAATACTGTCAGCAGTAAAGTTAAGCAGGAATGATGAAATCGTACAGTGCTGATTAATTTATTGGTCGATTAATGACAATGAAGAAATCTGACTATAAAATATATTCACACTTATATTTTTTCGTGCACATTTTCTCATTAACACATACAATATGAGAGCGAAATGCTGTCGCAAACATCAAAAAACATTTTAGTGTAGAAGAGCACAACAGCTATTCGTGTGAAATGGGGGGGGGGGGGAATTAAAAAGTGAAGGAAACTCGGGCCATTCATCACAAGTCAGTCGATTATGCATACATTTATTCTGTACAGTATGACTAACTAGTAATCTGCGTGCGGTACACTAACACTACATAAACCATTTCTAAATATAAAGGGTACAGTGACCTAAGTTTATCGTCATTCTAATATAACTTTAAATATTGATTCGACCACTTGTCTTTGGTTTCACTTCCATCTTACAAGGAAACCAAGAGTAGGTTTTCTCACTTGCAGATACTTGGAATTCCTTTTGAGTGGGTGGCATGCAGTCAGTGGTCGCCCACAGTATCCACCACCGTTTGTCAAGATACCCCAATCGATTCACGGAGACCAATTGCTTGTGAACAGGACTTTCCTCTAGTTTGTAAGCGGTTTCAGTTGCCAACTGTCGGCTACACCTTCTGGTAAATGACAAAAAAAAATCAACCCTCTTGCCATCAACTTCCTACTGTAACTGAACTTGCTAGCGTGAAATCATATAAACGACTGTTAGTGGGAATTAATTCGAAAAGTTTGCTCCAACCTAAGCTTTTAGCTCATTCCAGATAAAGGTCGGGTTTCGATGTCATAGGCTTGAAATACTGCTCATACGCTTAAATTGAGTCAGGTGTTTATCGCATGGAACTACTGTCTTTGCAATCCATCTAAACTTTTATCTTGAAAGTAATGTAGAGATTTTAAGATATTTGTTATTATTTTTCTGGATAATTCTAACTAATTCACAGGATTTCCTTCCTTTTTGATCCTAGTCACTGTGTATAGTACCGGCTGGTAACTAACTTTTTAATCTCCTGTTTGTGATACATTTGTAGTCATCGATCGCCCCTAAGCACTTAAAATCCACTTTTTCGGATCTACCACAGGGAAACCATTCTTGTCTGCCTATGCAACAAAGTCTATGCACGCATATTTGCTCATTGAGATTTCGGGAAAATGAGAGGACTAGAGATCAATTGAGTCGTATCAGAAAATTTTAAAACTTTCTTTCTGTGACCTAGTGGATGTGTGCTGAACTTTGTCACAGCTTCATGTTCTTTTTTCTTATTGAATTAATCTATTTCATCAAATGAATGATTATCTTCACCATTAAGTTGGATAGAATAGCGAATACAACTAATTGGTTAAAACGAACTGGTCATAAAACTCCAAGCAAAAGGTGGGTCATGCACTTGATTAATCTTGAGGCGTGAATTCACAGTAGCTAATGGTCAACTCGCAATGTATTCAACTTCACGTAAATGACGATCATATGGGAAAGTTGTTGGTATCATTTAAACATGGCTCTTTGAAGCAGGTTTAGGTATTTTGTTGATCCCTCTCAAGATGGACTTACGTGAAGAACAGTTGAGACTTCGGTAGGAGGGTTTCACCAGCCTTCCAGATTCAGTCAGCCAAGATTAGGGTTTGATTTGGCATTACACCCTAACAAGTCACGTTACCTCACCTCATATCACCATATGACGTACGAAGACATAAAGATAGAATATAAAGAAATGAGGAAGAAAGCAGTTAAACAGGGTAACATTCGTCAAAAGAGAGCAAGAAGAAATGAGGTAACATTGATTTCAGTATGACGGTTAATATGAGGATAATGTGTAGATACATCTGCGCCATCGAAACTCATCCTGAATCATATCACTAAGACTCTAACCAGTGGTTTCTGTTTTCACACAGATTGCAGCTGGGTAGTGTAGATTCACCCAGTCGACTCACACCAATAGTCAGCTAACTAGCTACCTCATGGAGTGATTTCGTATTTTGACCTGACCGCCTCTAACTTTTCCGAGTTTGAACTTACTTAGACTGACATTATGCGATGGGGTAAACGATGACTGGGCATGCGTAACATGTATCCCAGCCACGTGATTTGATGAACATTCATAATCTCATCAAATGACTTATCATTTCCACCTAATACTGAACGCATGACTTCTAGGTTACTGATGTGGTGACAGGATGACACGCGGTCTCTGCTACGAAGGTAACGGCAGTTGTACATCTGAAGCCTTCTCATATGCTTTAGGTTTAACGAGCATGTGTCACGGACTGTATGGTCTAATGGAGTAGACTGTAGCACAGTAGACTCAAACCTTAACAGACGAGTGGATGATCCACCGACAGGATGAATGATGTAAGTTTGTGAAAGTCAATTGAGGTGTTTGTATCCGTGGAGAGAATTGGTGTATCGCTGACACACCAGGTGTGGAAGTTATCTGGTTTTCTGGGATTCGCTGTTTCTGAGGTGTAGTTGGATATCTGATAATTATGGAACCTGGGATCACAGAGAGTATGTTTGTGAGAGTGAACTGACTGTTGGTATGATGATGAGTTATTTTCCTGTACTTGAAGTCGGACAATGAGTGATTTAGGCTAGTCCGAGGGTATGAAACACTCTTATGAGAATAACAGTGGCCTAAACTATAAAAATTCGCCATACTGGATAGAAATTCTAACGCTTTTGAATAGTCCTGGTAATGCGCAACGTAACCACTCCAAGTTTCCTAATACACAGGACTGTAGATACTTTAAAAACTAAAATTACAAAAAAGTAGAATTTTAAATTGTCGTAAGTGAAATGGTGACTCAGCTAGTGAACCACAACTGAATAATGTGTTCCTGGAAAAAAAACACTACAAATGGATAAAAACGTTTATGCTAAATATCTTCCTTAAATTCGCATGAATCCAGAAATAATTAAAAACTCTTTTTCAGTTCTGCGTTTATAACTACAAATGGATTCATTCTAGCTTTTACTGTTTTCTTTATGACGTCATTCCATGTAAAAATGGATTATTCTGTTAATCATCCAAATCTAAACTGCATAGTAGCTGTCAACTAATTATCCTGAAACGAAACAATATCTATTTAATTCTCTAGTATCTATTCTTAGGTGTTAGATGACGTGTAAACTAGTTATTGTTTGTACAACGAAGTCCAATTATAGGATAGGATGATACAGTTATGAAATCATCTTGTCTAAATTTGTGTTAAATCAAAGTGGGAAATGTCAACTTTGTTGAAGTTCCCTGTGGTTGAAAAATTGTAGATTAAGAGAGATATGCCTTGTAATATATATGTTATTATTTATTATTAGTCCATTGGGTTCCTAATGGGACATAGGGCTTCAGTAGCACGTCTCCATTCTACTCTGTTCTCTGAAATCTTTTCAACCTAACTCCACGACAGCCCAGAAGCTCCCATTTTTTCTTCGGACGATCTCCTCCATGTCACCCTCGCCTCGGACGCCAAACTCGTCGCTTCTCATGGGGATTCCACTCGAGGGCCTGACACGTGATGTCACCAGTCGGCCTTCTCAGTGTATGCCCAATCCATCTCCACTTCCTTCAGCATATTTGTTGCGTGATAGGTTCGCGGTTGGTTCGTTCCCAGAGTTCCTTGTTGCTTATTCTTATTATTCTGGCCATCTGATCTTCAGTAGCGAGCCAGCGTAAGCAGTTGTTGATGAATGTCTGTAGTTTATTGGAAATCCCTTTCGTGACGCGCCAAGTCTGTGAACCATACAGAAGCAGTGACTTGACGTTGGTGTTGAAAATCCGGATCTTGTAATATATAGGGCACTGGGTAATAAAGTTATGGATATTTTTTTCGTGCCTTGATTGTAACTTCTAAAACGGTGCCTATGAATTCAATGTGACTGTTAAAGAAATACTTCTGAATCCCATTATTGGTCACTAACAAGCATGTGTCCTCACTAACCTCCTAGTTTTTGTACGTTATTTCAACACAATATATACTCCTATAGATGTGCCGAATCTGTTGACGTTTATTTTACTATTGTCCATGTTAGATGTTTTTTCTTTTAGTGAAACTTTCGTGTGAATAACTGGAGATATTTAAGGGCTGTATTATGTCTTTCTACACGTTGACTTATACATTTGAGATACTTTGGATTACAAAATAACTTCTTGAATTCAGGAGATTCTAATTTGTGACATACAAGTCTACAATGGAAAATTTTAGAGGTTGTTAACGTTTACAAGTGTTGAATTCCAGTTTCCACACCTTCAACAATCCAAAAATATATTCACTGTATCATATTATTGTATAATTTTATCCTTGATACAGTAGTTACCTTTGGATGATCAATTCTCAAAATTATTTATTGTATGAAATCTTTGACATGGTTGGTTATTGTTGTTGATGAGAAGGATGTAGTTGAATACAAAAATTACACTTCAGAGATTTAATTTTGTCGATTTGTTACTTTTTCAAAAGTTTTGTTGTGCTGCATATTTTAAGTGGATTGTCTTCATTCATATATGACATCATTTCAAATAAATTTTTACCCTACTTTGTTGATCATACCGTATGGTAGTTGTTTCTTTATTTATTGAATATCGTCTAACTTCAATAGTAGAAGAATTACATTTTCCCTTCATCAATACATTCCAAACAATATACAGTATTTGTGCTGGGTGATGATTGAAGGTGAGGTGAAAATCTGGACCAAAGCCGGGTTCGGACCAGCGACCACCGAGTCGAACTCGTTGGTCGCTGACTGCGGTCCAGATATTCGTTTCACCTCCAATCATCACCCAGTATTAATACTAGTCTGCCAAATTACGGCTCTCTCAGATAGTCAAGCGATAATATACAATGTGATATAAATTTTTCACAGGATAAATCAGTTGAATATCCGTCTTTTTCGTAATTTTAATTTTATTTATATTTATTTTCTCATGAAAGGGTTTACTTCAAGCAGCGCACAGTACTAAAGCATGGATTGTAACATCCGGGTTAAATTTAGGCATTGTACGAGTTGTTGGTGATGCTCTACAAGATCAAAGCTTATATTTCGATAAATGGAAAACATCTGGATCTCTTCGTTGTCTTGGAATTGCTCCATGGGGTTATGTGTTAAATCGTGAAGCATTGATTTCTGAGGTATATTATTTGACTTTTATTGTTTACACATTTAAACTTCATTTTTCTTCATAAGCTTCATACTATATTTAAAAATATCTATTGACCAAATTAAATAACATTCTTGTCAAATCATATTTAGAAGAATATCTACTCTGGCTGTGAAATATTGTACATTTGTAAGTGAAGCGTGGAAGAATACTAACTTTGAGCATTCGTTTATCATCACATTATACCTATCGCATTCTTACTCGAAATTACAGATATTCACGTATGGATAAAGGTTGTCGCACGAAATCTGACAAAAAGTTCTAGTATTTAAATCAGAAGCTAGTAGTATTCTCTTTTAGAAAGACAACCATGCTCGTTGAATCACTTAAAGATGCCATTTTGGTATCAGTAGTTATTCAAGTCTCTCACATTAAAATAAGGTAATACTCTTCATATTCGTAGGTTTATTTCATTTACTACTTGGTTTTCGTCAGTTAAGCTGGGTCTAACAGTTAGATGACCCGAAACATCATCAGCCAATTATTCTCCTTAAATGCTTAGTTCTTCACTTGATATCATTGTTATTTATTCGACCTGATTCATAATATTGTGTACCGATTTTCATCCTCATATCATCATGGACACTGACTATGAGAAGTAAGTTGGGCTCTGAACGTCATCCGGTTAGCACTGGATAATTGTATGTTATAACAAATTAACTATTCTAATAGAAGAAAATTGGTTCCCTTTATAAATTTCGACAAAACAATATGAAGACGTGAATTGTCTGAACCGTGTAATGTATTCAATCAACACAATTCGAACAATCTGATCACACACTTACTTGTCATAGGTATTTATATAATAATTTATGAAGATAAGGGGTGACGATATGAATAGATATCAAGTATTTGGGCTGAAGTAAGGGTCAAATAATGGTGAAAATCATAGGAATGAACTTGGTTTCAGAGTTGGATTCACCTAGGGTGACTTAATGTCATAAAAAACTGTTTATTCGTGAACACATAAAGGTGGTTTGGACTTCCTAATAGCTAGGACCTCGACAAATTTAAGGATCCTTCCCGGCACGTTTTGTAATTAGATCTAAAGGAAGTAGCAGCGTCAATCCTTTGACGTGTCTCAACAGTATGTTTCGCGATTGGAGAACTTGGATGTCTGTTACTAATGTTTATGGGTCCAATTGGTTCAATATGCTTGTGAAATCACTTTGGAATATTCTCCGAGGCCCTTACATGCAGGGATGTATGAAACTCTTTATGTATTTATCACCACGTGCACATTTGAATTGGTAGATGCAGTGGGATGTGATATTGTTTTCCATATTCTCTAAGGGTTTGGGAGACTGTACCGCTTTATTGGTTTCTATTAATCTAACTCTAGTTGCATAATAAGTCCTAATAGCAGCACTATGAGAATCACCTTCGCACAGAAAACTGATAAAGACATCTTTCTTCGTGACAAAGTGAAGGATAGGTTTCGGAGCTCTGATTACTTTGTACTGGCTAACTAACTTCGATGAACAGTAATTTTACAACAGTGTTTCAGTCAGTTGTTTTGTCTCATCTTGCAAAGTATCACCTGTGCATATTTGTTGAATTCTGTTGAATAAGCACCTAACTAACGCTCACTTGTACTGAACTAGACAAAAGCTGTGATAATTCAAATATTGCCCTGTCCACTTAGGTTTTCTGTCGACAAATCGTTTTATAGATCCGTCCTGCCATTGGCTAGTTAATATGTTCAAGAAAGGCAGGTAATCATCGTCCTTTTCTACACATGTCAAGGATATGCTTTTCTGCACTTCATTCACGTAGTTTAGGATTGAAGTGGGCTGATTTGAAGGTCTCATATAATTAGAATATCATTGACAAGTCTTCGATGTAGATGGGCTTTCTCAATTAGTTTCTACGCCAAGTTTTCCATGTGTGACGTAAATATGTCTGCTAAAAGGGAGTCCAAGGGACTTCCCATGGCAGCGCCATCAACCTGACGGGAATGTTCGCTGTCGAATGTAAATCTGATATTGATTATACACAAAAGTAGTATCTCGTTTAAGGGATAAAGAGAAATAGGTGTCGAAAAGTTATGCATAGAAATATAATCACAAAATGTCAGTTGTCTTGATCAAAGAGACATTAGTAAATAATGGGTTTACGTCAAATGAATGTATAATTTTATTTTTAATGTTGAGATCATCAAGGCATTTGCTTGTCTCAAATGTAACTTTTAAAGAATATTTACAGAATCCCTTCTTAACTGCATCCAATAGTTCTACTAGTCACTGGGCAATTTAAAACTGTTATCTGCTACATTCCCGATACTTACCCGTTCTCCTCGTTTGTATAAACATCGAGCAATAAAATGCAGTGTACGTTTTTGTATTGAGGTGAAACTGATATGAGAAGGAGCGAAACGTATTACTTCAAATTATGTCGAAATTTTATCTTGCTGTGTACATATTCATACCGGGTGATGATTGAAGATGAAATAAGAATTTGAATTGCGGCCGGATTCGAACCAGCGACCACCGGGTTTCCGACCTGGTTCTCTACCAACAGAGCTCTGAGGTCCATATTCATTATCTTCCTAGTTTGCTTTCTTTCTTCTTGCTTTCTCAGTGTGTTTGACATGTAAAGCATAAATTATATCACATTTCCTAGATAAACTTCGTTTCTCAATTACCCTGTCGTATTATACTTTCTTGATATAATACGTGGAGATTTCAATCGAAGTGCAGTTTTGATGCGTTCTACTTTTTGCCATTCCCCGCCTGTAATAATGCACATTTTCGAAATACCTATTTTCTCCAAGTTTACGACACTTACGTTTTGGATAAAGACAAATTGTTTTTGAATACACAGAAGGACACTGAACTTTCATGTTGCTGAAGCTTCGATAAAACTAAGTACACAATCCTGACAGCTCTTATGTAGTGATCTAAAGGCTGTTATGGAGTCAATCCTACAACCTGTTTCTGTGATATGTTGACCTATAGAAGATGACATCCATCTGCCCTCTGTACTTATCGGACTGTTCGAATGTAATTGTCTCTAACCAGTTAGGGATATTTTCCACCATCATCGACTTCATAATTCGATTACTCTTCCTAATGTTTGCATTACTACACGCACCCGTAAGTTGGTGTGCAAAGTGGGATGTGATGTAATCATCTAGTGATGAAGTTTATTTTGAAGTTGTTTTTCTCTACATCATTAAGCCTACCTGCATAGTGTGTTTTCCTAATAACTGAACTGAGCTATCATCTCGAGACACTACTGTTTGTTTCTGCATTATACAGTAGTGTAATGTAAACATCCTTTTCCAGGGCAGAATAGTGAATAGTTGGCAGCGTTGGGACGTTTTTATGCCAACTGATGAACTTCAGTGGATATGCGTTATTCAGTAGTGTCTCTCAAGAATTTGATGTCTTCTTCGAATGTATCTGTTGTGCAGATACGATGGTTTTTTTAATGAGTATTTTACTGAACGCCGTTTGTACTGTCTGGACAGAAACTATGAAAGCTTAGATACTGTCTTGTCGATGCAGTTTTTCTGTACATCGATCTTTCTAGCAATCCATCTTCCCTCCTATTTAATAATATATCAAGAAAAGGAGGCTGATTACTACTTCGTACCTCCCGGGATAAACTGATATGACTTTATATGGTATTAAATTTTTTCAAAAGGCTTGGTGCATTCCCATGCTTGTTGCATATTACGAAGATATCATCAACGTATCTCCTGTACAGAGGAACTTTATTGAATAAATCCCCACCTGAAGGTTCTACATGTGACAAAGAGACATCAGCCAACAATGGACTACGCATAGCGACGCTATCAACTTGCCGAAAATCTTCACCTTCCTAAGTGAAGTGATGTCGATAAATTTAGCTTTCAATCAGCTCTGATTTTCAGAAGTTGGGACAAATGAACTCAGCTTATCATAAATATATTTAGACTGAACATTAACCGCTAACTTAGAAATTTTTTGTGAGAGACAGAAAACTTCAGTCCAAGAGACAAAGCTTCTTTCCCAATACCGGATAACAATGGATGAGACATTAGTCACATATTTATCTCAAGTGATCGGTAAGGGATTCATATGCGTGTCATTCGAAAGAGATTTCGATGACACTCTGGCCTTTAAACCGATGTGTGTATGATCCACTTGTTAGAGGGAACACTATCACTCTTTGGGATGCAGTTGCACCAAACTGACTAGTCACAAGTAAGAAGAAATACGTGTCTTACTTTCCATTTTTAGCCACTATAAGTCGAATTATACTATTCTCCACAGTTCTCAAAAATACATTATGTAGGCGACTACTTACGGAATGGCAAGAATGACCTCCAGTTCCCTAATCATCAAATTAGACCAGTCAGTTTTAATACTGTAGTCAGGATTTTTTAAACTTCACTTCATTGTTAGTAAAATGAGACAGAATCGATATTATGTATTGCTAGTGTTATTAGCACTCAAGGTTACATGAGTTGTGAACGCATACTTCTAGATTTAATAATTCTCTTGGTTTTATCGATTTGAATTCTTTAGTCAAGTCAGAAGAGAGAAGACTTGTCGAAATAGAACTGAAATTTTATTGTAACATTCTGAACAGACAGCTAATACTTTCATAATAGTTGCATAGATACGTTCTTAGGGCTTATGCAGAATAATGATTAGAATGACTTGATAAGAGTAATTACTTACCAAAAAGTATCAATTAGTGGAGAGTAAAATAATATAGAATGAAAATAAAGCGATTTACAGTAAGTTTAACCTATTACTTTCCACGAATCCTACACTTTCGATAACTGACAATCCTCAGATTGCGAGGAAACAATTGTTTCATGATTACTGTTTGCCACTAGCTCCAGCCTGATAAGTAGCTCATTTGTTACATTTTTGATGGATTCTTCAGTTCTCTTGAGGTCACAGGTATACCTGTGAGCATGTTAGGAGCGTTCTTCAGCTTCGTAGCCATTGTCTGAAATAATCAACGTAAAACCTCACACAGAAAAACATACGTTCTGTCTGCAACACTTCCGAGCAGCATGCAAAAAATAAGTGGATTTAAAGAGTGATATTAAAGTGGGCAAAAGTGTATGGAAAGGAAAAGCATCTTAAAAAAGCTAAAGTTGGTGGAAATTTTCAAACTTTAGAGTGTATCGTCGAGTGAATACATTTACGCCATTGTGACCGATTTCCAGCCCCATAAGCGAATCTTCAACCATTGACTCCTGTATTTAGAGGACCCCAACCAAGCAGTCTGCACTTCCATATTCGTCTTAGACTGACAGTCAGAGACTTCATAGACCAGTGCTGCGTCTTGTTCTATTCACCCTGAACCTTCTTTCTACCCAATACTATTTGAGCTAACATTGCATGTCAAGGTAAACGATGGCCTAACATGCTTAAATGCTTTCTTTTTAAAACCAAGCTGCATTGGAATAAATCTTTTCACAAAAGGAATTTTCAATAAGACTTCACTGGTGATGAGTAACTTGTTTTGATGTAGAAATTTTACAGTCATATTAAGACATCGTTCTCTTTCCATTCAGCTAAATGGTATGCTCGAATAGTTGTCTTTGAGTACACTAAACCAAGAATTATTCCTGTTTGAAAAAAAGGAAACACTGAGTTGTAGTATGTTAGCTTCGTAACAAGGCGATCATCACATAGTATGGGATTTCGAGGATGGGCCATGTGCTTAGTTGAATACATGTACTGTTTATAGTGGAACATGTCACCAGCTTTTATTTTGTGCATTGTACTTTTTCGTCGTCTGTTTCTTTTGACTTCATCTGTTGTTGTTGTATTTTTTATCCGTTAAGGATCATAATACACCTATTCGATATGTAGTTTCAGATTTTATTGCTAAATGCTGTCCAGTTTCTCTGAATCAAAATCATACACACTACATATTTGTGGATGAAGGCAGACGGCTAAGATATGGTGGAAGTAAATCCGCTGAATTTCGGGCTAAACTAGAGAAACAAATCGCTGTTCCAACAGAAAGTAAGTAGAATGTTTTATGCATAAGACATTCTTTAATTTTTTTAAATTTTAAAGATGTGTTTTGGTGGGCTGACAAAGATAATTTTCGAGTTACTATTCTAAAAAAGAACATTCTCAAAAGACGCCTGATACGATCAGTGCAGCATTTTGGATAGAAACCAGACTATCCTATTGCAGTAGTACCTCCTATAGTAACCTAATACCGATTCACCGACAATAGTGAAGGTCCAGAGAGACTTTCAAGTGGGAAACACTAGAGCTTCCAACACACATTACCTTTGCTTTTTCCCAGGGATTAGTACTTGAATATGTGCACAGAACTGGTGTTTGTTGTTCAAGAAGACATGGCTGACTAAGTGTTCTACCACTCTGAAGTGGATATCGCTATAGATCTCGTCTTCAAAGCGGGTCTGTATAAGGTATGTAACAAGCACTAGGGTAGTACTTTTGTTCTTTGTAAATACTGGTTGCTGTGTTACTTCACAAACCATGCAAATGGCTCGATAAGCTTAGGTTTGGTTACGAGGGAGGATGTATGGACCACGTTTTCACCACATATCTGACATTAAGACAACTTTTAGTTCATTGAACTGGACGGACTTCTGAATTAGTCTAAAATATTTCCCTAATAAGCCCTTATACAGGGTTATCTTATACGAGATGAGGGTTGATGTCTATTTCTCTCCATTGATTGTGCGCACCAGTTAAGCAACCTGACCACACTAACAATATACTTTAAAATAAATGAATACAGTTCATCTACAACAGTCTTCCCGTAGTGAATACCAACCTAACACTTGTGAAAAAATTCCATCACCATAAAATGATATGTGATCAGTTCTCTGATGAAGAATGAATTATATTTGAGTTTGTGTGTTAGCACAATAATATACACACAACGCATGGTATATAATACAAATATCCTTCGTATTTATCACAGGGTAGTCAGTATTTTTAGGATGGTTTCTTTGCAACTCTGTTTTGTCTTCTTACCACCTGATATTTCCCTCTCTTTCACTTTAATGTTATAGAACAAAATAATGATATTCTTTCAACAAAAATTTTGTATGAATTGTTTTAGTGTGGAATTACGTTTTGATCAGGTGTATACATTATTCGGTGGTGGTATTTATTGAATATTCATTGAACCATTGCTCGACAGCTATTTATATGAATTATGTAAACTAGTGTAAGTGAAGTGATGAATGAAATATCCAACCACTGACTAAAGGTTAAGCTTAGTGACGCAAAATGCCGTCTGTTTTACAATAAGTTGTGAATTTTGTTCATTAAGGCGAAAGATGCTCAGTTTTCAAGTATTTATCCGTTTCCCTTTCGACATTACCTTCATTCAATGGAACTACTGAGTCAATCGCGCTGAAATTGAAAATTGAGTACCACGTACAGGAGATTAATCAGTTAGTGAGAGATAAAAAAGCTTTCATTGATTTAACTGTCACACATGTATATCATACAGGTCTAGCCTCTACCTCTGTCCACTATAGCAGAAGTAAAATAGAGGGGATTCTAGAGTGTTTAAATGTTAGCCATGAAGAAAGGTGTGTAAAGCATAACTATCACGTGCATGATAACAACGACTAATGTTTAGGGACTTAATTAGGCCAGTCTCAAAATCACTAGCAACAGTTCCGTTGCGTGCTTATGTCTACTGTTTTATTTTATCGTGGTTCTCTGCCTTTTTTTGCTTAGTTCCTTACCAAACTGACATGTTATTAGACTCCTTTGTTCACCATTTTGTTAATTCCTCGTCGTGATATTCATGTGCAGATTGGCAGCCCAAACTGATACTCACTTGTGGCACCTCTTATGTCACTTGTGCCTATCGGTATGAGTCAAGTATGTAGAAAACACTTTGTTAATTCTATATTTAAACCAGGTGTACGTGGTTTACCAGTTTACTTGCTGGTTTATTGACCTGAAACCAGAAATGTGTCCCCCTTGCGCATAAAACTGTGTGAGACTTTATTTCATCAGTCTCCCATGTTTCGAAACCCACTTTTCTTCATTCTCACTTGTGAGTAGTAATGTAAGTCATTAAACGCTTAGTTTATTTCATAGCTAGGTAAATAACCCTGTAACAGGTTGATGAGCTACTGTCACTGTCGAGACTATTCCTTTGAGAAAGTTTATTTTTTCAGATGCTTACGATCAGTTTTACACAAGTGACTATACTTATTAGCACTCATCAGGCTGTAGATTCTGTCCTTCATCTATCTCTTATAAGACTGAAGTGTTTAACCTTATTAAGTGCCTTCTTTGTGTTTTGAGGTATCTAACTTCTTTGTCTTGTCGTAAATAAGTACGACAATTGTCAACTTTCAGTATTCTGATGTCAGTCGGTGAACGTAAACATAATACCTGGGAGTAGTGCTTAACAGTCCATTTTGTCACATCTCATATCAGGGAACTCATTGATGGATGCCACGTTTTGGTCCGACTGGCCTGAATGTTTCTGCAACCTAATCCAACTTCCACTAGCAATGACACGTTGAGGTGGGCAGTTTCTTGGTATGCGCAGTATATGTCCAAGCCATCTCAGTCGATGAAGGTTCTCAACCTCATCAACTGACTTGCCTGTCTTGCTTAGTATCCTTCGCCTGACCTCAACATTGACCACACGGTGACTCCACCAAACGCGAGCACTGCTTCGATGACATGTGTGATCGAAACCATGTTACCTCTTCATGTCTTCTGCTTTCAACAACCATGTCTTACAGCTATATAAGAGAACGGCCTGCAGCGCAGTATACTTATCCTTTGATAGATAGTCGTACATCGCATGCGAGTTGACAAATTCAAAACAGGCCTTCTGTATCAGAATTCAGATTTCGTCAGCAACCAAATCCGTATATACTCCAAAATGCTTTTCGATTGGTTCAGCCTCCCTCTTTGAACGTTGAAGTCAACTGCCATTATGATTATATCTGAACATTTTGCTTTCCGTAACGAAGTTGACAGCTTATCAAAGAACTCATCTTTTGCATCATCCGAACTGTAGTTGGTGTGAGCGCGAGCGGAGATTTCAAATATACATCGGTTGGTCTTACGGGCCTTCCTAGTTCTTACAGACTCATTGATTTAGGAAGCACACAGGCAACTGTTAGCTGGTATGGAGTCGAGAAGTGCGATTTCTGCTGTGCAAATCAATGCATGCCCACACCAGTGAGTCCAGGGTCTCTGGATACTCGCAAAGTGAATTTCGAAGATTCACCACAGTGATTAGGAGCGCTCAACTTAATAACCATACTCAGGTTCTGTATAGGTGTCTCAGAAACACAGCATACATCCATGGCTAGAGATTCCAGAGTTTTGGCGAGTGACGCTCGCTGTCCGATTTAGTTGGAAGCTCTTACATGAAAACGTTGGCGGGGTTTTAAGAGACAGAGACTAGGAATGAGGTTTTTTCGACGGCTTTGATCGTTAACAATGGTCGCAAAGTGATAGGTTGGGGGACGGGTGTAAGAGGCATAATATTAATATCAGAAGAAAAATGAGAAGACAGAGCTGACGAGGACAGGTTGCTTTTAATTAAGTCTTGTGTATTTATCGGAAGCATATGGCCGGTTGACACTTCCTGGTTGCCCACATAGTGTTTAGGCTATTTCTTCTTCAGGTATTTGAAAGAGAAAAAGGCCTGTGTTGCAGCAGAGCTCTTGGGAAACCTGCTTGAGATCTGTCATATACTGTCTTTTGTGGGATGGTGTTTTGACATTTCGTTGGTTTAACGCTGGATAAAAGGGACCTATGCCCCCGGCACCGGAACACCATAGGGCTGGCAGTATTGTGCCTTTTTCGGGGCTGGCTTTTTCTACCTCCCTCTTTCTTTAGGTAGGGCAGCATCAGCGTGGTACCGGTAATCATCCAGAGGAAACGCCTTACTGCTGTCACACCATAACCAGCCAGCAGTACGACTTCGCCCTCGGACCCGCATCGTAGTGTTGCATTTTGCACTAAAACGGTAACTACTCTCGTTTTTTTTCCATGGTAGGACAAGAGGACAAGCGTTACAGCCGGTATAACTTGTTGGGTCATTGTGATATACAAGCCTGACCACTACGTCAAGGTAGCAGCTATCAGTCGTGTTATAGTACCAGTTAGGTATAAAAGTATTATGGACTATCTTCCTTGTAACTCTGATAATTATTACTTTTTTATTTTTAGAAGGTGGTTTTGGTATCCCCGTCGTCCTTGTCATTGTCGAAGGTGGTCATGATGTATTTATTGATGCTAGAAATAGTATAAAGGAACATGTGCCTGTGGTGATTTGTTCTGGTACTGGACGAGCAGCCGATATTCTAACATTAGCTGTGAATTATCGTCTAAACTATGGGTGAGTTTTTCATAGCATCACAATGGCGATACTATATTGTGCTACAAAAATGTATAAGAATAGTTATTACTGCCTGTGAAAGCGAAAAGTACATTCATATCTACATACGTGCAAAGATTTTTGATTCCAGGTGGTATTATTTCTTTTATACAATAGGCGTAGCTTCCTGTACAAACTTGTACGTTCTCTCTAACTCAAATGTTTTTATGTAGTCTATTAGTATTCGAAGGCAATGCCTAAGTGACATATTGAGGGGAATAAAACTATGTTATAAATTCGAACGTGTTTGTTCAAGTGTTGAAGTAGAAATTACCTTAGTTAACTTTCTTTAGGACGGAATTATCCACATTATTGTGTTGGCGGATAGTAAACTAATTATGTATTTTGTAGCGTTGGCTTACACTTCTTATGGCCAACCTTTTACATTGTTTGTGTCTTCAGCCTCAATGATGTCATCATTTTCCACAATTCGCTCATTTGATAACAAATCATTACTATTTATAACCACTTACTTCTTTCTGTGTGTATTTTGATTTTATCTATCACTGAAATAATTGAACGAATAAGTGGTATCTTTCAAGGATTTTCAACAGATGAAACTGAAGAATTGAAGTGCAAGTTACTTCCTGTTTGTGATAGCCCAAGTAAAGCTGATGACGCTATCAAAATGATTGAATTCATTGTAAAAAATACACAGTTGATTACAACCTTCGATATGAATCAGTCAGATGATTTCGATCTAGCCATCTTGTCTGCATTGATTAAAGTCTCATCCAATGTAGAAAAACAGTTGGAGTTGGCATTCACTTGGGAGAGAAGTGATATTGCACACGAGAAAATACTCCGGCAAGGCGAACAGATTAAACTAGGTAAATTATTACTTTTAGGTTAATCAAATAATACATGTTTGTTTGTCTGTCCCTAAATGACATAGGTGTTCCAACTCAATAATTTATAATCCTTTGATAAAGCAGTATTTTAAGTAAATGCAACTCAAACCCCACACATGTGTAGAAAGTACAAGGAAATAAGCCACACTTATTATATGGGGGTGGGGTAAATGTTATACCCGGTTGGCCGGGTTTAAGTAGGCAGAACCGGATTTAAACCAATGATCAGAAAACTGTACAATACGATAGAGTGAATCCCAGCAGACAGACACAACATACCAACATAAGATCTGAGAATACTGCGTGATAGTTCAAGTTGCCACGCCTCATATCACCATATGACGTACGAAGACATTAAGATAGAATATAAAGAAATGAGGAAGAAAGCAGTTAAACAGGGTAACATTCGTCAAAAGAGAGCAAGAAGAAATGAGGTAACATTGATTTCAGTATGACGGTTAATATGAGGATAATGTGTAGATACATCTGCGCCATCGAAACTCATCCTGAATCATATCACTAAGACTCTAACCAGTGGTTTCTGTTTTCACACAGATTGCAGCTGGGTAGTGTAAATTCACCCAGTCGACTCACACCAATAGTCAGCTAACTAGCTACCTCATGGAGTGATTTCGTATTTTGACCTGACCGCCTCTAACTTTTCCGAGTTTGAACTTACTTAGACTGACATTATGCGATGGGGTAAACGATGACTGGGCATGCGTAACATGTATCCCAGCCACGTGATTTGATGAACGTTCATAATCTCATCAAATGACTTATCATTTCCACCTAATACTGAACGCATGACTTCTAGGTTACTGATGTGGTGACAGGACGACACGCGGCCTATGCTACGAAGGTAACGTCAGTTGTACATCTGAAGCCTTCTCATATGCTCTAGATTTAATGAGCATGTTTCACGGACTGTATGGTCTAATGGAGTAAACTGTAGCACAGTAGACTCAAACCTTAACAGACGAGTGGATGATCCACCGACAGGATGAATGATGTAAGTTTGTGAAAGTCAATTGAGGTGTTTGTATCCGTGGAGAGAATTGGTGTATCGCTGACCCACCAGGTGTGGAAGTTATCTGGTTTTCTGGGATTCGCTGTTTCTGAGGTGTAGTTGGATATCTGATAATTATGGAACCTGGGATCACAGAGAGTATGTTTGTGAGAGTGAACTGACTGTTGGTATGATGATGAGTTATTTTCCTGTACTTGAAGTCGGGTAATGAATGATTGAATTCAGTCGTATCTAGTTTTCACAATTTAGCTAACACTTCTGTAAAGTTTACTAATAATCTTTGACTATTGTCCTTAAGTACCTCTGATACTAATCCATCTGACCCTGTTTCCCTTCCTTGTTTTTGATTGGCTACGGCTTTCTCGGCTTCTGCAAGTGTTATAGTGCCTTTCTCAATTTTCCACTCTAGGTCCAACTGGATAATGGATGACGGAATAGTGTCTGGATGCCTGTTGAACATTGGCTCGAAGTGTTCCGCTCATCTATCTAGCCCTTATTAATAATACTTTCTTGCTTAGTAATTGCTTCACATCCAGACATCGTCAGGATACCTCTTGGCCAACAAAGTCGCATATCGCATCATCAGGAAATACGGAAAGTGCTAGCCAATTAACGCTTGTTACGTCCTATCTGATACTCATCAGCTGTATTCACCTGCATCTCAGTGAGTGATGGTGTCCTCACTGAGTTCCAGACACATCTATCTGACGAGTCCTAAGTAGGATGAAAGGCATGTCCTGGATTCCACTGCTAACCATCATCAGGTAAATTACATCATCATGAATCTTTAGGCAATACTGAAGCATTGGCGTAGGATTCAATATTCCAACAAATATCGACCAATTCATTCCTGTAAAACGACGATAGATCACAAGTATCAATAAATGTAAATGTTTTTTCAGCCTTAAATTGTTTAGTTTTATCGAGTGGTGAAATATAAGCTATTCAAGTTGCAATTGGAGATATTGTGGTAGTCTACATGTTTAGGAATATATCATTTTGTACGTACTAACCAGAAATAGCTTTTGCTCCAGTGGTAGAAGGAGCCTGTGTCTATATTCATTCTTTGAGAGGATTGCGTAAGGCTTTGAAGAGCCTCTATATTTGCCTAGCTGTGTATTTTGCTATCCTTGTATATGAAAAGCCATCTAGGCATATATCAGTTTGGTTCCCTGGCAACGGCTACGACCTGCGTCTATCTGTGAATGTCAGGTAAATGACATCTCTGTGTGCTTATTTCTGATATTTGGACATCTCACCTGACTATTTTCAACTGAACATGTTGGGTAGCTTCGTTTGACCATTGTTGTCCACATAGGGTTGTTTGTATTTGATTCAGGAATAACGCATTTTCTGTCAAACATCGAATTCAGTAGTCTAATCACTATCACAGAATACTATCTGGACATCTACCTTTCTTAAAATGGCTGATGGTGTTGGAGTGGATTACTGTGTTCCTCAAATTCTTTCATGGACATAGTTCATCAGAATTTATGTTGTTCGACTGAGGAACAACATATGCTACTCTACTGACTCATTCTTCTTTTTGAGAACTTTGTAACACATTGAAGGAAGTGCACACTGCAGAAAAACTCCGTGTCAACTCATAGTTTTCAAAATCCTGCCATGATCATGCATATACTTCCATTTTTGTCCCTTTTCGCCAAACATAGACTCTAGACTATTCTAGTAATCAATATTTGCTAGGTTTAAGGGAAGATAAAAGTTTCCTTGAGTGTTATGCTTAACTAGTGGTGGCGTTTTATAAACCTTCGACGTTGTTTCTCTATTTCTTGCAGAAACTTTGGAACATTTCATGTTAAAAGCATTGAAGAGTGATAAACTTGAATTTGTCAAGATCCTTTTACGAAATGGTGTATCAATGAAAAAATTTCTAACTGTTGATCGACTTCGAGAATTGTACAATGATTCGGACCGACGTGATGGATTTGTTAAATGTTTAACAAAAAACAATCTCTTTCTTCCGTCGAAAAGTATCGTTTATGGCAATGTGATTCGTTATAGTGATCGCAATACTAAAAGATCACCTGATCATGGAAATACAAAACCAACAAGTGTAATAATACCTGTCACTGCCGTTGATGATTTTGACAGTGAAGGACAAAATATGTGTTTATCGCATGACCGAATACGACTGACTACCATCAATAAACTGTTAAATCGAATGTTAGGAAGTTTCGAAAACTGTTTGTATGATTTCGACCGCGAAGTACGAAACCTATACATTTTTCATCATAGATTTATGCATTTTTATATCATGGTGATTGATCTGTTCACAGTAGCGTAGTCTTTTCTGACATTGCTTGTATACATAAATGATTCCTGTTGCTGCAAAGTATGGTTTTTACCCTGTGGTTGGTCGCCTTATAAGGTTCAATGTCATGTTATGTATTCCTTGATGCTAATCGAAATGGAATAATCGAGTATGTAGTGGGGCCATTGAGCGCTGTGTTGCGTCCTCTGCGTTCTTTTGTATATGTATGCTTATTAGGAAGTGGTATCTGCTTGTTCGAGAAAAATATGTTTTTTGAGAAACAGATACATGAACACGAATAAGTTGCCAGACGGTAACTAATATTGTAGCTAGCCGTCTATTCCCTAGCGCTCAGCCCCTATCTATGTCTATCTCGACCAAGTCCTACAATAGGACCACGAAATAGAGTGATATGACACTATTACACACTGCATTTTGATGTCATTTGTTGGCAGTCAATCGTAGTAAATCCGTGAGGGAACACTAGTAACCTCATGGTTGTAGACTCACTTTACTGATGAGGACCAGCAAGCACGAAACCTAGGTCTCAGGTCTTCCTACCGATTGACTTCCAACATCTAACAGCACATATTTATCACTCAAGTCAACAGTTAGAGACAGTTGCATTAACAGATGTAATGCAGATAATCTCAGAACAGTAACTGAACATTTTAAATAGTGTACTGTGTTTCGAATGCATTATAGCGGGTAGTCTCTGAACTGGTCATGCAGTATTGTTGAATATTGCGCTGTATGCGGATTCTCAAGTATCCATGGTTTTATGAACGTTTAATCCTGCACCTAAGATATGCTGGCGATATGTCAGTGACGCATTTACTGTGTTGAAATCGATACCACATTAACAGTTTCCTCATACATATGGGCTCAGCAGTAGGTGCAATCCTGTTCACTTACTTAGTAGACAATGAATGCAGGAGAATTAGCTGTGTAGGATTGCCGAGTAAAACGAAGAACATATGATAGTCCGGATACTACCATCTACTGGAAACTGAAATGTTCTAACAGGTATCTAGACTCAATGTCCTCTCACTCAGTGTCATTTACCACAGCTTTATACAAATGTCTGAATGATAGAGTTGGAAAACTCACTAATCAATGCCAGGACTTGAACAAGGAGTTAGAGCTTACTGAGGAAGCGTTAATAATTATCCTTTACTTTTTATTAAGAAATTCATGCGAACATATGAGAAATGTAATAATAGCAGTAATACGACTATGAATAATAGCGACAACACGAGTAAAAAGGAATTCAAAGCCTCCCTTGTGTTATCCTGTAAAGAAGGAACATGAAGAACTTTTACCAGGATTTTCAACAAGGGTGGCATTTGCGCCTACAAACTCACTCAGAGATAAGCTTTGTCGGTTTAAAAATTCAATAGATCCAGTTAAGCAAAATAATTTTATCTAACAAATTCCTTGTAATCACTGTGAGGTCAAGTACCTAGATGAAACTAGCCTGTCGGGTTAAGTTAGATTAGCGGAACACAGTAATTCAGCTAAATCTACAATAACAGATCTCAATAAGATCAGTAATCTAGAAAAAAAACTCGGCTATTGCAATGCACGTATTAACATACAGCCACACAATAAGGTGTGATACAACCACTCCACTTAAGGTGTAGAGATTGATTTTTGAATCCTTGTTCATCGAATCAACACCCATTATATTTAATAGGAATGATGCAACACCTATACCAAATATATAGAAAGTTTTCTACCGATAGAGACAAAGAATAGGAGGTGACAGGAACTATAAAAAGCAGGTGTCGAAAGTAGTGAGATTATGTCGATATGATTATGAGGAATAATTTATGCTAGAAACGTCATCAAGTAAATAATACTGTATCAATGTATGTTATAAACCAAATAAACAAATTTAGTATAGAACTAGTGTTTTATTGTACTCAATTCTCCTAAGAGTATTATATCACGCAACTTATTTACCTGCCTCACCACGTATGTTATCATAATGGTGTAGTGTAGCCGTAGTCAAATTGCTTACCTGATCCATACTTGCTAACCCCATTGATACAGTTAATCTTAGCCAATACACTCACTTTTTTCCGTTTTTTGGATTTTTATTTTTAGGCTTAAGCTGTACAAGTGCACTGTGTTGTAAAAAAAGTAATACTTTTTAAAATAGTCAGTAGTTCCATATTTAATATCATGGTTCTGTTATCTGTACATACACATTATTACATAAAACGATGAGACCATTCTTGTATTGGGGAAGCTAATCATAAGCTTTGATGCGACACAGTAAAATGAAGTATGAAATTCTGAAAAACTCACCATATTATGCTATCTTGAAAGAGTATAGTCTCAAAGGATATTTTAGAACCCACAGAACCTAATAAGTGTCTTATGATGTCAGGTATAGCATATCTGTCTGCATTTCTGCCAGTTTGATATAGTGTTTTCCACCGAAAAATAAGAGTTTGTACAATACCTGGAATATACTCTTCATAATTTCATTGTGTTAATTCACTGAATTTCTTCCAAATATTCTTTTCTAAGTAGTTTAATTTTCTTTTTCCTAATCATCGAACTATAGAATACAGAATGTTATTCAAACAAGTGGACTTGCAACGAAATATTTCTTTCACCGTTTCAAGTAAGTTTTCTAGTTACAGTAGTACTTTTTGAATCATGTACTTATCATTTTATCATGAACAGTTGGATGAACAGGTGAAATATTGATACTGGGTAGTGATTACGGGTGAAGTGAAAATTTGGACCTCTATGGAATTCGAACCCTTGGACCACTGAGCTGTTGATTTACTGTAGTTGAAAACAGTTTTACGTGCTGTTGAACAACACTGATAATTCATCTCATCTTTTTAAACTAATGATGGATAAGTAAATGAATTAAACTAGAGTTGATGAATCACACTGACAGTACAGTTTGTCAGTCAACGGACTATAGTGATACTTGTTCAAGTTAAAGAAACACCATACAAAAAATATTTTATTTGCATTCCATCATATGTGTTCAGTTTTCTGCTATGAGGCGGTTAATATAAAATGTATTAATAATAATTTAACAAATGTTATCTTATGGATAGAGTTTTAGGTTTTTAAAAAATATTTAGCGAGACAGTTAAATGCCGAGTTCTCAATGAACTAATTTCAGATCCTTAATGAAAAGTTTGTTTGGACATCCTGAGTGTGAAATGTTGATTTCGAAGTGTCAAGATTCAGCGTGTCCGATATATTTGTCTTTGACTTCAGTATAGGGTGTCCAGTTTTGCCTAGGCTGCTGTGTACTACAATTATCTTTCTTACTGAACATATATATGGTTCTCAGGCAAATGTATGAACTGTCTGACAGTTACTAAGCTTCATTAATTGTTTATAACTGACCAGCTGACTGATGTAACCTGATACAAAATCAGTGAAACTTTGTCACTCTTCAAGATAGTGTAATAAAAAATCAATATCTGAAGTTATCGAATCGTTTTCAGTCCTAAGAAAGGTCATAAACTGCCTTTGTAGTCCCACTTATATAGTCACTAAGGTAGTTACGATAAGTAATTATAAGTAATATGAATTACTTATGGTGAAAATCATATGTTTCCATCTGACTTATGTTGAGCAAAGATTACAAGAAAAGTGTGTGAAAAGTATTATTGTCTATTTAGTCAACTGACAAGTATTGGTTGCTATTGTGAAACAGTATGTACAGGGAAAAGAAAGACAACTGTATCCTTCAAAAAAGCCTTCTGAGACATCTAACTGGTGCTGAACTGCATGAAAACTCGTTTCCAAAGTCAGTATCATTTTTATTAGCTGATAAAATTTGGCACTGCTTATAATTCCACTAACAAATTAGTAGAAAGTCAACACTTTTGATATGGTGTTCTCTGCGTTTGATGTTTTAATCGTAAGCTTTCATTGTCATTCTGTACAACATCTTCAGCACTTCTTTCTGAAGTGTGTGCTTATGTGGTTGTCTAGAATTACAGCGAAAGCTTCACGATTCAAGCATCCAGCTCAAGGAACACATCATCAAAATTATCCTCCTGAGCCACAAGTATTCGCCATCATCTCAAAGTCAATATTATGCTTGGATAACAGTGTTGATTTTCAAACGTTGTTTTGCATCCAGTTCCTAATTTTTTAATCTCGACAGCCCAACCCATGGAACTATTCCCTACAGTTGAATTATATACCAAGTAAACTAAGTTTTTATTATCTCCTAAAAGATAAAAATATTTGTCACTAGATCTAACAGAGCTCCTTCAATACAACAATAACTGTTTCTTTGTGTTCATTACCACCAAGTCTATTAAACATATTACCAAGAATAAGAAATTTCATTGTGTCAAAATATCACTATGACTAATTTATAAGAATTCATACTCGCCTAATCATTGAAGTTAAAATCATATAGGCAACATTTATTACCGTAAATTCATCGGTAAGTTACAGACATTTTAGTGAATAAGTAATTTGTTGATTTATATTAACCTGTACTGAAGTCGGTGGTTCTTTATCAGCATAAACAATAAGGGTTTTACTATTACCCTTTATCATGGAAACATGTTGAGAAAAAAAATGTGACGCAATTATACAATATGACTAACTTAACATTTTATGTTAGCTCACTAAAACGTGTGTTATTATGTTTAACATTTTATCGTTTGTCTAAGATCTACATACTGACAATTTTAAGCACTTTTCAACAGTGATACACATCGTTGTGTACCTGTTTGTCCCACTACTTACTAACGTGTTTTAATGTATATAGTATGCAATAACAACTTGGTTTGCATGATTTGATCTTTAGTAAAGTCGACATATTTTTATTGATAGACACTTCTAATTTTTATTGAGATCAATAAAACTTATTTACTTTCAAAATTAACGTTCATCTTAAACCGAAATCTTTTAAAGGAACTAAAATATATTAAGATGATCCTACGAAGTGTTTCATCACAGTTTGAGATGAATAAGCAGCATTTGAACTGTATCTTGTAACAGCGTAGTATTTCAAATGTTCAATTGGTGTTGAAGAAGTAATCGATCCCTATTGAATCTCTTAATCAGAATCTGTCCATTCACCTATCCATACTCACTCACCTCCATTGGTAATCTTTCCAATCTATAAAATATACGTAATCCCTTATGCGATTGTCAGCTTTGGATCACTTCTTAATTCATAGGATGTTTTTCTCTTCTCGAAGATATCATTTTCTAAAGCTGTACAATCATATTTATGTATTTCAAAAACACAAAAGTCTATTATTAAAGAACCAGGTGTAGTTGCATCATTAGGCTAGTGTTAAAACTGAAATGGAAACTGGAAAGAAGTTGCATAATAATCCGTTAAAGAAAGCCAATCTCGGAAGTGCTACAAGTTTGGCAGGACAAAAATTGTTGATAGATGTAAAATGCCAAGACTGAGTAATGTCCACTTGATAGATATCAAGAAGGTGAAGAAATAAATAAGGGTCACAGTGGACGTGATAATAGTAAACTAATTAGTTATAATTAAGTTCAAAAAGAAAAGGGAAAAATATGGAAGTATTAGGATTATAATAAGAGATTAAACATACTTCTTCTGCAGGCAGAAATCAGACTCGAATTGGTAAATTTCTTGTGCTTCTGCTGTTTACAACTGTCTAAATCGTATTTCTTTTGACGCTGTGAATGACCTTGAATGATAACTCTAGTCGAGCTGTGTTCAGAGTCGACTAGATGTTCAACAGTTGATCTGTTAATTGACTCAGGTTCTCCCCCTGACCAACACGCAGAATAGTGCACAGAGGTACGTTTAGAAATTGCAGGATTTTTACTGCCTATGTAACTTGCTCCACAGTAGCAAGTAAATTTGTAGACGCACACTAAAGTAGCTGAAAGCATTAGTTTGTCCTTAGCATACACCTGAACCACTTTCTGACTAGAGAAGCTGGTCTGTTGCATAGCCGAGAAACATTTCTCCATCGATTTTGGCACTTAATTCTTCAAGATCTCTCCGCTGCCGTACCACGTTTGACATTTGCCAATGGGTTATATTAATACTTCTAAATAGTTGTGTTAGTAAACAACTTTAAAAACCAGAAAATTCATCCACATTCATGTACTTGTGTATAAGTGATACCTAGTTCGTGACAGTTAATCCTACTAAGTGCTTCGTGAAACGCTAATACATGGTTCAGGATTCAAGTATGTAGCTCTTTGACTGAATGTCGAATGCTTTACCCAATGAGCATCAGTTCCACAGCTTTAATTATGTTAGAGTTTTCATTAATTGTTCTCCACCGTTTTCAAAAATCTTATTCCATTCTTTCTTTTTGTTCGAAGGAATTATTCCTGTGGGCTGTGCTTCATCAGCGTCAACAAATGGCTTTGTACTTCTGGGAATGTAGCGACAATCCTCTCATCTTAGCATTGATTGGATGTTGCCTGTACTCAAATATGATTGAATCATTGCCTGCCTACGATACAGAAACTAGAGCCTTATATGAATCATATGTAACTGAATTTGAAAGAATAGCTGTTCGTTTGTTAGACCTATGTTATGAAACGGATGAGGTAAGTGTTAGATAGCGTTTTACACTAGGCTTTTTGATAATGCAATAATTCATTTTCTTTTCTTTCAACCTATAAACTGTTCACAGCTGAGAAATATTGGACTTGTTCTGATTACGTGGATATACTACCAAGTTATGAGTTGTGCGTACCTACTTAATACCTATATTAACAATCCACGTTGGCTAGAGTAAAACTGACTTTAAGCTTCAGATATGTAGAACAACGAGTATAGTCATTACACAGATTGTTTATCTGAAGCCCTCAGGTTGTTGTAAAAATCTATTTCGGTTATTCAGGGTGTAAGTTGTTTCCCACGTTAGGTCTCAATATGAATAATAGTGATACGAATCTGACTATTAAAGATTCTGTATTTTGGATCCTAGTTTTTCTCATTACCATCCGTAATTTTTGTTTTCTGTTGGTTGTTAAAATTAAGGCCCCTTTTCTTACTGTTAAATCAAACAACCTGGTTGACTTGCTACGTTTTGCAGATTCTTCATTCTTAATTCTGATAATCAATTTGTTGAAAGTTATATTTGTGTTATATGGGTAAGTGTAGAAAAGTCTTAGTGTATTCCTTTAGATATTGAGACTTTATTATTGCGTCTCTTTGTTTTCTTGTTCATGTTTAATATGGTTTCGGTTAATCATTTTGTTTTTTTTAATGCGACCCATAATTTTAATCTTCAATAGTGTTGATATTATTTTATGTGTGAAGCGTTTATCAACTGAAGATATACTCCTAGATTATCTCATGGTTATGAGTAGTGAGTGGGCTTTACTATCACTTTGTTCTGTATTAAGTTGAAACAAAGTTATATCCACTTCACCGGTCAGATGATGCCGAACCTGCCAAGCAGGTTTATCAGTTTAGGGAACCATACCTCTCAATGGTACATAACCAGGAAGTTTCTCGAAAAAGGATATTATGAATGCAAAGGAAAATGCATGGGAAATGGAAGAATAAACAAGTGGAAGTCGAGAAAAAGTCCAGAGTTTTGTAAATGATAAGGAGTGTATTTGTATAGCTCATTGTAGTCGAATTTGTACCATATCAACGATAAAATTCAACCCAGTTGTGTACATATCGGCGATACGTCTAAAACTGATGTTGGGAAACTTCAGGAACTGGTAACATTTCTTGGTCTTCTGGTTTTTTCCAACCTAATCGTACTTCGGATGAAATTGCACAACGATTCAGGAAATGGCTTTGAATTTGCGACAGATATCCTAACCATATCAAATGGTACAGTTTCACAACCTCATCGATTAACGTACGTTTCCAACTTAACCTTTCAAATGTGATCAGTGCTATAAAGATATTGATTGTGAAACGCGTGAGCCCTTTTTGTGTCCATCACTTACAATGGTTATTTTTTAAGCTTCGACGCGTTGAAATCCACTTGCATCTTGAGTACACCCACATACACATCAACTATCGTCTTTTGTTGTCTCTATGTCTATTGGTCAGCACTTGGATTGACTCCCTAATCTGAGGTACGAAACTTCAAGCCAGTTTCTAATCTTCGAAGCAGCTTATATTTTCATTTTACTTCGTGATTAGTTGTAAGTCACAGAAGCCCATATTTTTTCAATTCTTTTTTTTCGTTGATTGAGGAGATTAAGCCCATGGAATTTGTGTTAAAGATTTATATAGTTTATCAAAATCGTTTTATTGAAAGGAAAGCCAACTGCTGAGAACTTCATTTAATGATATTTTTTGGCCCTGTGTGATGCAAAACTATGGGTTAACTGCAATTAGTTTACGAAATAATTTCTCATTTTACTAAAATTTTAGAAGCTGACATTAATTTTATTGGAACGAGATATAAATGTATGGGGTCCTTTCAATTGTATTCGTTTAGCAGCCCAATCTGTTCGACGTAAATTCATAAGTTCTACTGCTTGTCAAGACTCTTTGTATTATGCATGGCATCGAGGTATACGCGTTAATATATTTATTTTGTTATGCACTTTGATATGTCCATTTCTCCTATTCTCCAATCGTTTATTACAATGGGACAATGCGCTCACAAATACGAATGCATCACCGAACCAAAACGAGTCCAGCTGTAGTCAAAATACTTACACCGATAAAAGCAATTCTTGTCATCATAATCCGAAGAGATTCACTTTATGTGACAGAATCAGATGGAAATCCCGTACATTTTATAGTGCACCAAGGACCAAATTCGCTTTTAATGCAGTAAGTTTCAACTAAACTATCAATGTATGAAGTGATGAACTGCATGTAATTTATTAACACTAGTTCATAATTTTTTGGTCTTCATGTCTAGTGTTTTGTATTTTCAATTTTGGTGAGCTCCATTCTTCCTACAGAATTCGAATTAGCGTCTTTTGGTACCGCGACTATAAGAAGAAAGTGTGACATGTTCAGGCTGAACGACAATAATAATATAATGTAACTCCATGTGGTATAGGCTTGTATACTAGACGATGAACCACAATCGTTCTTTGAAGGCGTATGATGGTACTGTGTTGTTCAGGTTGAAGTAGATGAGGGTAGGCTACGAATCCAAGACTTGTAATTTAAGCTCCTAAGCCAATGGCATTGACTACACAAACACGTTCCTTGGTAACAAGTAAACCATGTCATATCCTGTCTCTCACTGCCCAACATCGATCGGTGTCCACGCAGTCACATAATGTATGTCAACTATGATTTCCTGTTGCTTTTATACAGATGCTCTGAGCTACTGCCTTTGCAAGAGCATCAGGTTTTCTAATAGACAGGTATCATCCGTTCTTGAAAACTTTAGGTATTAGGTATTTTACCATACGCAGACCGTTGGATACCCCGAGGCCACCAAGAAGTTCCACTCATTGTATACAATTTGAGGAAAAGAGTGAATTAATAGTCATCGACTACGCACAAACTTATCAGTAAGTGGGTTGGGGGTGGGTATCTCTTGAATGGTTTCACAAACTTTTTCCCACATTATTTCCTGACCTAAAGTTAAATAAATGATCAAATTAGTGAAGGTTTCCATTTTGGTGGGGGTGCATTGCGATACCTGGCAGAAAAGCACTGTAAGTATATTTAGCAACACTATCCATCACTATGGTGGGAAATAATATTTCCAGATATTCGAAAAAAAACTTTATCGTGACAACAGCTATCCCTTTCTGATGGGTGCTGCTTTCTATCTTTTTTCTATGAAAATCAGCCATTTACAATGGAGTCATCTGGATAAGTAAATTATCGAAAGAATAATAAATAATGGAGCATTAGTTATCGCATTCCAACTTTATCTCAATATTCAGCTATAGTGTGTTAGCTTGCTTACTGTTCATTGTTATTTTTGAGTGTATCAAACATGTATGTGAAATTATTTGCAGACAAAAGAAATTCCATTCAGCACAATATTTCGTTTGTAAAATAAAAATACTAGTACAAATAAACTATGAAGCGATAACTGAAGTTGTAAGAGTGATAGAAATTTCCAACTGAGTTCATTTATCAAAAAAGCAAGGTCACAATGTCTGACAAATAGTAATGGTCTGATTTATTGTATACATTCATTTGACACTGATCGGCATAAATCTTAGTTCCAGGTATTTTAAGAATGACCTTTTTTGATATTTTTCATATTTATAATCTGAAGTTTACATAGTTTAAACTATTGAATGAAGAATGTTGTTTTGATAAATAATAGTGTAATCCAAACAGACAGACAAAACAACGAAGGATACATGACAGTAGTCAAACAATTCTAGCATCGATTGTTCACCAAAGCACTGTGAGTGCCGTTGTTCATATCTGATTGGTTTACACACCCATTCTCGTCCAATCACTAATGATTAAGATGCCACAGCTCCCCCATATAATCCATCTGAAATTCGCACTGTCTCATAACTGTAGTGTAGGATAAACAGTCAGTTATTTTGTCTGCGCGAAATGATCCTCATGTATTCGTATTTAGATTTTGCTAGTAACTAGTACATTGAGGTTAATAAATATGTCCATATAAGTGCATGTAGCTATTTCACTTATCCCTTTAAGCCAAACATCTGTGTAGGTTATTCTTTTGCTGCTCGTTACAGCTGTAAATCTCATGACAAACATCCAGGTAAAGAGTCCCAAATAGGGCAAAACTCACGTCCTGGATTCCACTGCTAGTCACCAACCATCATCAACATATACTAGGGTTTCTTCTGAACTTGTTTAGGATACCCTTCTTTTCATTTGTGTCTATGTAATTTAGACCTACCAGTTGCTCTACAGTAGTAGAATGACTTCCAAACAGTGAAAAGCGGTCACGATCATCTCATTTATTAAAGACAAAATCCAAAAGGAATGATGTTAGTGAAAATCATTTGTCGATTCAACTGGTTGTCTTCACCTAAAACGGCAACTTTTTATCAAACCTTACACGACTGTGTGAATACCACCGGAGAACCCAAGTAGCATGATAAAATTACTCGCCAACTCCTTCACGGTCGGACGTTATCGCATAACAGATCGATCTATGACCTAAGTTACCGTATCCCATCATGAGGTTGTAGAAGTGTCTGATGTTGGTAAGTTTGGCTGTGTTATAGAGACAAACGAAGTGCAAAAGTCTGGTTTATGCAGTCCTGTTTAAAACTGAAACCAATACCTCTCCTTCTTTGTCGTCTCTCGAAGGCGCACATAGACAATCTTCCACAACTTCCAATTTTGAGACATGAGTAATTAATCCTGTCATGCTATTACTAAATGTCCCTCTGGATTCCTCTAACCAATTTGAAAGCATCGTAATAGACATTTTTTAGATTCAGAGGATTTCATCAGTTCAGCGAGCAGTTTTTCTTCTTTCTTAAAAGCCAAAATAAGTGCCTGACACCATTTTAACATTAATAAATCCATTTTTCACATCCCAACTTCAATAAGCAGTAGTTTCTGACCACCTTTTTCGAAACCTTTGTAAGCGAACCGTTTAGTTTTGTTTCTTTATCCCACAATTCAAACAATCTTCTGAATTCTGATGAGTTGAAGAACTGATTTCTATGTCCTATTTAGTTTTAATTTATTAGGCAGCTTGTGGTATTCTACACACCAACCAAAACACCCCTCAGTGTTTCATTCAATGTTCCCAACATTCCTTCTGACCCATATTTATTCTTGAAGTTAACTTGATTAATTGTCTCACCTTTTTAGTTCATATGTTGACCTCATACAAATACCCAGCCATCATTAATTAGTGGAGATGTCTACTCCATCCTGAACAACAAGAAGATGCTTTAAAAGTTATTCAGAGTAATGAGTAAATCGAATAATACGCATTTTTTTCCACTTTGTTGAATGCATCTCAGTCAAATGCCTTAAATCGAATTGATATGTTCCGAATGAATTTATCGTCAACCTTCAACTCTCTTGGTTAACCTCCGGTTATTTGTATAGGAGTAAAACTTGGTCAATGTAGTAGATTGTGATTCCATTTTCACTGTATGACATTTCTAATCGACATACTAAAATGGATTTTCGGTTATTTGATTGCATCCGTCATCTCACTAACTTTTCAACTCACACTAAACGTCAATCCTAATTTATTGAAGTTCTTGCCGATACTTCAAATATGGTGGCAAAATCCCGTTCCTCCTTTCCAGCGATGATCAATAACAATATTATCCCCCTGCACTCATCATCGGTTTCATATGGGTGACCAGTATGTCAGCGTTCAAAACCAATACTAGTTGAGAACAACGGAATATTGGAACAAGACTACATATTGTCTTCCTTGACATAGCATTTCGAAGGTACTTTCAAGATGCATGTTTACTGCAGTGTCTTTCTGCTGGTGCAATGATATCACTCAATATTATGACTATTCGAAACAATAAGTCTCTCAATGAATTTGGATAACATAACTAGAAGACGTAGTTTATCTGACAAATGTGATGTATTTGCGCCACACATTGCGAACAATCTAATCACACATTTGCTTGTCACGGTATTTTATATGAAAACTGAATCTTGGGGGAAGCATTTCCTATCTACTTTTGGACGATGGTCCTCTGTGATTTGTCTTGTGCTTCCTGTTCTGTTGATGTTTGTGTATCACAGAATATTACAAATGGGATTTACCTTGACGTTTGATAAATCTTTTACTGTTGACCTGAGCAGTTTGTGGAGATTTAGACTGCCTCATTGAGGTCTCCTAGAAAAAGGGAATCATGGCTGAAAATTATTCACAATGGCGCAGATCTATTCACTCCTTAATATCTATCACAGCTTGAATATTCTCTTTCACCGTTTATCTTCGGGTCGTTTATTCTCTCACAATACTTAGACGTTTTTGATAACACTTTTTTCTATCCACCTGTTGTTGTATACTACTGTGTAGTGTGGCAACTTGAGCCGACACACCTACGTGCGAAGTTATACCCTGTGTTTGTTAGTCAGTCAGTGTACCTGGGATTAAGGAGTCGATCCTAATACTGGCCAACAGCCATAGATATAATGTAAAGCTATGCTATATTGCTTAGAATTTTGAAGTTCGTCAGCAGAACTAATGGTATACCTCTTAATCTACCAAATGAAACTGTTGTAGACAAACATCTTAACTCATGTAAACATCTGACAGGAGTTAGTTTACCAGATGAACGACATCCTCTTGATTCAAAGCTCTCTACGTGTTGGTCTTCAGGCAAGAGCAAGTATATATGACTTTATGCATGTACGACTAAATATAAAACTACAACACCGTATTTAGGTCATCTCTTGAGGGACGAAGAAAGTATTAGAAACGAACTAGGTGATCAAATTTCGTTTTTGAAGGAAAACATTTATTGAGCAAACAACTTTCTATTATTTATGTATTATGAGTTGTTATTCATCGAAGACTGACATCTTCGATGAATAACAACTTGAAATAATTCCAAATCTCCACAACCCCTCAGAATTTATGTACTATGAATCTAATTTCTAATGTTGCTGTTTACTTAATTTAGCTCTGCGTTTTCAAGAAAGTTGTAGATTAAGTAAATATTCTTATCTTTTATGGGTAATTTATACTTATTTCACTTTATTATGTATACATGTTCACGATTTTTGTCCAATTGATGCTATATGATATGCTGAAAATTCTGTACAGTAATCGCAAAATATCTTTCAGAGTAAAGCCATTATTGTTTTTACTATTATTATTATTATTATTATTATTATTATTATTATTATTATTATTATTATTATTTTATTATTTAACATAGACCTCATCACTGTGTAAACGTTTGTGTCACATCCCACTGCGTTTACCCATTTGTGTGTGTGTGCGTGTGAACAAACATACCCAGGGAGCAGTAGTCGAAATATGCACTTGTCGGCGGTGAAATATGTTCCAAGAATTTATCAGTTGGATTCACAACTATTGATAAGCGCAGGTGACAGACAACCATTATCATTTATTCCAGAACATCTTATTCATAAAGGCTATAGGATTGATATTAAAACAACTTTTACAATTTCCTATAGAAACTGTCGCTAGCCGTATACAAATTCATACACCCCCCTTGTGGGTTCGAAAACAGTTCGTTCTTACGCTAAAACTACCCCCTTATTGCTTGTGTTATCTTACTATTAAGATTGCCTTCCCCATTATTAAATTCCTTTATCAATTAGATTATAACAATAAGGGCGATAATAACAAAAACAAAATCTCGTAAAGCTTATATGGTCTCAGTAGTCAATCCTTGTAGTTACGTCAATGAATTGTGTGTGTACAGGGACAGAGGGGAATAAAATTGCTGTCGCATAGCGATTGGATTATAAAACTCTTCATCACTTATGAAACTAAGGGAGAAATATAAAATGATAATGATCAGAGAACAAACAGAGAAAATATTTACATTTATCCGGGTTACCTGGAAGAAAATTATTGTAATTGTGTCTGAGTTGAAGTTGAAGACTTTAAGGGAAGTAAAAACGTCTTCCGAATACACAAGTGAGGTTTTAAAATTTTAACTGCTATAGTTTCTGCTAGGCTTAGAAATCGGAGGCGCAAAAGCTCAAAGCAAAATGAAATCGAAACGCACTCAGCAGCCTTATGCACTCCCGTGCTGTAAACAGTAAACCACACCTACTGTGTGAGGGTTAGTGGAACCACCTTACTGCTGGAAACAAACTCCATAGTGCCTACTTACCTAAAATCCATAAATCTAACACACCTGTGGGCGCTATCTTAGACATGTTCAATTCACCATATCATGAAGTAGTTGACTAGTTTATATGCATTCATACATTCTCTCCATTTCATTAGTCACTTCACATTTCGCTGTTATTTTTATTCCCTCTCCCTTTCTTGTTAAAACTTTCTACTAATTTACCTTCTTCCTTATTTCTTTATCTTGATGTGTGGGGTGTGACATCTTGGACCGTTAGGCTCAGATGTTGTGCTGTATATTGATTTCGAGAGCCTTCGCTCTTGGTGTAAGGAATCAAGGGTGATAATTTATAAACAACTCCTTATTTTGTGATTTTCTCGATGGTGGCTAGTACTGAAGTCAAGGGGTTACGTTTCATCCCGTTTTGAACTCATCCGCTGGACGTAACTGCATCTCAGTAGGTGATGATATTCCCACAGACTCGAATCTGAAACCCATTTCTTCAACAACAATAAAATGTTACTTACTAGGCCACTGAGGCACGACAAACACTTTTTGAAACCGATGTTGGTTATTACTTATCGACACTTGTCCATTTCCTGTTGTTATACTGAAACGAAAAGCTCAACCTTACTCACTAGGGAGGATGTATATCTATCTGACGAGTCCCAAATAGGACGAAACACGCGTCTTGGAATTCACTGCTAGCCACCACCAAGAAAATTATTAATTAAATACTATTCGGTAACTGGTTGAGGCATCCTCATAGGAGCCCATCTGCTAACAGAGGCTGAACAATTAAATCCAGTACAACAAAAGGAAATTAAAAGTATCAATAAATGAATAACTCCTATGTACGATGAATCAGTCGTTCTACTGTCTACAGTTTTCACCTTTTTTTTCAGATTAACCTCACCGCATGCTAACATACATCTCCAATACCTTTTAATTAAATGTTGATTTTTAACGATAACTTTTGTGGTATTACCTCATAATTTTCATCTCTCCATCTTTCTAATTTTCAATTTTATTTAGCTCATATACGTTTTATTCGTGTTGTATTTTTCGTACACATTGTTGTTTGAAACATTACCAAACAAGATTTCAACACATGAACTAGTTGTCATCACTTATTTTGGTGCTATGCTCATAGATTTGGTTAGACAGGTTAGTGTAAAGTTTAGTTATCATTTCACACTTTTGATGATTCCATAAAATCTGTTGGGTTATACAGTTTGATGAATAGAAACCATTTATTGTGTTCCCACTGTTAAACATTTTGTACTACTTATATCGTCATTACGACTAGTTTTTTTCATAATTCTGTCACTTAAATCATCCATTTGTACATTGTACTTTATTGTATTCATCCAGTGAACTCCCGTGATCCAAGTTTTACAACTATCATAGTTTAGTTTGAAATATCTTTCAGAATGTCAGTATAGTGTTCAAAATGCTAACTCATAAATTCAGTCAGTACTGTGATCAGATAACTAGTCTAAATTTTACCAGATGTATAATATTCCGCTACTAAATCTAACTTGTTAAAATTTGCTGAAAGGATTTATTATGGAGATTAGTAAAAGAGGATCATGAATCTTCAGGTGTAGTAGACCGGTTATTCATCTATTGTATATGCAAATAGACTGACCGATTGGTTAGAAGTACACGTCTGTATGACTAATCATAAAACGTTTATGTGAACCGACGAGATATAGAAGTAAGGTACCAAACTTAGTTCTTACTACTCAATCGCATCCCTACTTCGAGTAGTTATTTGTCATAAGAAAATTTGTTTAAGTATGCTTATTTTTTGATAACGTGAATCAAAAACAATCAAAATGTAATGAATATTCGAGCACGTTGCTTACATCTTGCCGACATCCTGTTGTGAATTCCGTCCTAAGTAAATTGTAGCCAACAAGTTTCACACTTCAAGTACCATCATTATTTAAGTAAACGTAAACAGACAGACAAAATCAACATAGAACCTCACACATAAGTGCATAGGTTCACTTTGCCATACTTCAAAGTAGTATACAAAGAACAAGTGGGTAGAAAAAGAGTGATATCAAAGTACATAAAGTCGTCTAAGAGAATAAGTAATTTGAAGATAAAGGTTAGAGCGAATATTTAAGCTTTAGAAGACGTCAAAGAGGGAATACTCTGCGTCACTGCGACCGATTTTCAAACATGTCAACAAGAGGCCTCAACCACTGATGCCTTTCGTCTCGAAGACTTTAGCCAGGTAGTTTGCAACTCTCCACTCGGCTCAAATCAACAGTCAGGAACTTTATCGACTGGTGCCACATCTTGATCTGGCCACCCAGAACCCTCTTCCAATTTAATCCATCTTCCCCTAGCATGATACGTTTAGGTAGGCGGTCATTCGGCTTGCGCAGTACTTGTCCAAGCCATCTCAGTCGACTAAAGTTCACAACCTCGTCATTCTACTTGCCTGTCTTGCTTAGTATCCTTCCCCTGACTTCAACATTGCACTTACGGGGATTCCACCAAACGCAAGGAATACTACGAAGACATCTGTAATCAAAACTCTGTAACCGCTTCATGTCTTCTACTTTCAACGGCCATCTCTCACAGTCATATAACAGGTGCAGTATACTCCTCTTCTCATGGACAGTCGATTATCTCACTGGTGCCACAGATGGCACGAGTTGGCAAATGTGAAACAGGCCTTCTATATCCGAACTCAGCTTTCGTCAGAAACCAGATCATTCGAGTGGATGCAGTTCCGCAAGCAATTGAAATGGTCGATGCAGCCCTGCACTTCACTCCTTTTCACTAAACTGAGAGTAGTTGCAAACCAGTCCACAAGCATCATTTTGCATCTTGCATATGCGAAACCCATGCTTAACATACTAAGATTTCTGGCCAACGCATCCCAAAGACCTTGCTTTTCTTTTCCGCTTCTTCACTTTATTATTATCTTTTCATTATTCGTCCCTTGGGTTCCTAGTAGAACATAGGGCTTCAGTAGCCCGTCGCCATTTCACTCTGTTCTCTGCAGTCTTCAAAATCTGGCTCCACCACTGCCCATACGCTTTCATTTCTTCCTCACACAATCTCCTGCATGTCACACTCAGACGCAAAACTCATCGTTTCCCATGCTTGAAGGCCTGGCCTGACGCATAATGTCCCCGATCGGTCTTCTCAGTGTATACCTAATCCATCTCCACTTTCTTGTACATATTTGTTGGGCAATGGGTTCTTGGTTCGTTCGCTACCAACCGCAGTGAGTTACTTGTTGCTTATTCTTTTTGGCCTTCTGATCTGATCTCCAGTATCGAGTGAGCGTAGGCAGCAGCTGCTGATAGTATATGTCTCCAGTTTGTTGGAAATGCTTTTTGTTACGCACCAAGTCTCTCAACCATGTAGAAGCACTGACTTGACTGACGTTGGCGTTGAAAATCCGGATCTTGTTCACGCTTTATGCTGAATGGAGTGCAGTGCAATATATCTCAACACTGATTTCAGGTTGATAAAGGCCTGTCTTGCTGGTATTCGGATCCTGGCTTTGACATCCTCATCTATGCTGCCCCCTGTAGTTGAAACGATGCTGGCTAGGAAGGTAGGTGAAAGAAACAACTTCCTTTAGATTTACCCCTTTGATGGTGATTGGTGCTCATCGTTGTTGTTGATTGGGTATCTTCATCACCTCTATCTTCTCTACGTTAACCTGAAGCCTCGTCATCCTTCCCTGCCTCGTCTCTTCTGCCAACTTGTTAGTTTTCGTCTGTACATCTCCGAGTCTCTGCCGCTAGACATTAGACATAAATCATCATCGGTGGCTAAATCCAAATCTTGTAGAGTCTTTTCATCCGTCAAACAGCGTATGCCCATCTTCTCACTCCTCACAGTTAATTGCGTGATCCAGTCTAGTCGGCCACAATCAGGAAGGTCATCGGTGATAGTAGACAGCCTTGTCTTACTCTTATCTTCACTTAAAAGGTAATTCCAAGCTTTCCACTGTGAATCACCTGGCATGTAGCATCATATAGCAAGCATATAGCTGTTGAATGAGGTAGATAAAAGTTTGTGGTATTCCGTAGTGTTGAAGCAACTGGCTACCAAATTACTTCTCGGTCAACGCTATCCAAGGCCATTTCAAAGTCGGTGAAGTTGAGGTAAAGACCCAGTTGACTGCCATTCTATGCTCTGTTCTATGATGATGCGCAGCATAGCGTTGTAATTTGATCTGCACATGATTTGGTTTTCATGAAGCCAGCTAGCCAGCGTGTTTCGGTCGTAATTTTGAATGTAGAGCATTTTCTGGTCGCTCCAGGATGGTGCGGCTTAATATTTTGCTTGGGGTGGAGCATGATTCCGCTCCATTACCTCTAAAGACTTAGGTCTCTGTTGATTGAGAGTTTGACAAGATAGCCCTTCTTCCAATTGTCTGGTACATTTCCTTCCTTCCAAACTTTCTGCGATAGTGTTGTGAGCATGTCCGCTGTTGTCTCTGTGTCATGGTCCAGCCTTAGTCAGTCAGAAATGTTGACAACGAGACAAGCAGCTATCACCGCATGTGGCGGTAGGCTTCAATTGGTTAGTTAATTACACTGCTGTGTTTCATTTAGAAATACTACTTTTGACGGAGTTTGTTATATTGTGGATGCTAATCTCAACCTATTGGGTCTTGACTGGTTCGAGAGTTTAAAACTCGCCGACTTTTCATTGAATATGGTGTGCAACAAAGCGGAGGCAGCGTCAGATGTTCGTACACCTAACGAAGACCCAGCGACCCCGTTAGTATCCACAAGAGATTACGCAGTTGCTTGGGGTTGAGCATGATTTTTTTCCAGTTCCTCTAAAGACTTAGGTCTCTGTTGATTGAGAGTTTGACAAGATAGCCCTTCTTCCAATTGTCTGGTACATTTCCTTCCTTCCAAACTTTCTGCAATAGTGTTGTGAGCATGTCAACTGATATCTCTGCGTCTGTCTTCAGTGCTTCTGGTGGAATTCTATCTGGTTTTGCTGCTTTCACGGATTTCAGTAAGTTTATGGCTTTCAGGACTTTTGCTTTTGTCAGTGGGTTTGTGTTCACTGGTAGTGCTGTGGCTGTTGGTGGTATTTCTGGACGAGTTGCAGGTAACTATGGTGGTCGATTCAAGAGTTTTCTGAAGTGGTCAGACCTTTGTTTCTCCTCTTTGGTAACTAGCTTTCCTCCATTATCTTCCATTAGTTTCTTCTGCGTTAATCTCTTCCTGGTTATTTGATATGTTATCAGATCTGTATCTCTCTAGCCTGTAGCCTGTTGTGCTTCACCTGCCAATGTGTCTTAATAGTTTCTATTGTCTTTGCGCGTACTCTTCTTCACTTCTTTGTCCAGTATTTTATAAGTTGTACTTAGTTCACCTTTTCGTTGCGCATTCTTGCACTGGTTCATTTTCTGCTTCACCATCTTCCTCTCCTTTCTCTTTCAGCTTCCATGTGTCCGTGGAGATCCATTCCTTATCCTGTCTTGTTTCTTCTTCCTTCCTAACACGGTTATGCGGGTTTCCTTCCACGTCTCTTTCAAAAGATTCTAGTGTTCTTCCAGGCAGGCTTCTTCACGAATGTTCTTAATGTCTCCCATTTTGTCCTGATGACTGACTGACGTGAATATGTCGTTTGTAGTTTCGTCCTTGAGTTCAGTTTCTGTTCTGGGTGTCGAACTTGAATTGTGGTCTATCACCGACTTCTGTGAAGGCTTTCAACTTGATTTTGAAGGTTACTTGCATTAAATAGTGAGTGGTGTGAACCTACATCTGCTCTTCTTCTTGATCTTGTGTTGAGTAGGCTGTGTCTCCACTTTCTTGAGATTGAGATGAAGTCGACCTGAGTTTCAGTGTAGTGTGTCCATCTGGTGAAATCAAATGCATGTCGCTTTTTGAATATCCGTGTGTTTGTACACTGTCTGTAATCACCAAACCGTTGAATGCGCAAAAGTCTGCAAACAGCTCTCCATTCTCGTTCATTTCACCGTGTGTTTCTTGACGCATGATTGGTTTTCTTCCTGTGTTGTCCGTTCTCAGTTTAGTATTCATGTCACTTCACCCATTAGAATTTTTTGTCGCCATCTGAGGTAAGGTCTTGCCTATTACTGATTACAGTTGTCTATAGAATTCCTCCTTCTTCTCTTCATCTGCATTATTTATCGGTGCGTGGCGTAGCATGGGGTAGTATGAATGTGACTTTCCTCCCTTTTGATTTGAACCTTGCTGTCATGATCGTGATGCTGGAGGAGATTGGTTCCCATTGCCTGAGAGCCTTTGATGCTGTTGGGGGTATCATGATAGCCACTCCGTTAGTGTGCTTGTAATTGTCGTCTGGGTGACCGGAGTGGATTACTGGCTCTCCAGTTAAGAGTTTCGAGAATCCACTTCGATTCCATCAGCAGATTCATCTCAGATTCCTAGCACTTATATGCTATACCTTCTCCTCTCTTCTGCAATTTGGGAAGCCTTGCTAGGTTCATACATTGTTTGGACATTCCATGTTCCCATGTTTTTGCTTTTGCTTTCATCGATGGAGAGAATACACATCAATCAGTTGGCTTCCCGAAGGCTTTCATCAATCTGCGTCATTTCGTCTCCACTATTCCAGCGAAGAATAAGTTTATTTTTATTTTTTACATTTTCTTTATGCATTGAAGTTTCTTTAGCGATTGGATTGGTTTTTCCGGGGTAGGGTTGCTAGCCCTATGCCCGATCTTTCCTCTTTATCCCGACTTAGGACCGGCTAGTAAACTAGTGAATTAGTAAAATAGGACAATATTTCTGCGCATACCAAGTCAACTACGTGACATTCAGGGAGTAGGTCAATCCCTGTGAAGTCAAACGTGCCTAAGGTTATGTAGCAAGATTTGCGTTTAAAACCAACTTCTTCATTCGGAAATTAATCAATTTGAAGTGCATTGTTAGTCTCAGGTAAATGACATAAGTTGGAGAGTTGTGTAAAAGTAAATAAAAATGGGTCGGTATGCGTTTGCTCTCAATTCGTAGTTTGTCACCAGTGTTTGAAAATAACTCATTCTTCTTGATTAAGTAATTATTCTGGAGCGTGCGAAATCTTTCCTGTCTGTAAATTACATCACTCGGGGTAGCTTTAAAATGAAGTTGTCCTATTCATGAGAGCATGAAACAAAATAAGTTAAAAAATCTGTACTGAAATTTAAATTTCGTTACTGTTTTTTTATTTGTATATCTCTGTTTTTAGATTGTTAAGTCGTATCATGGTAGATCTGAACAGTTTCATTCACGATGGAATCATTACTATTGGAATAAATCTGACCTACTTTTAGTCGGTTTAGCATCATTGAGCGCTTTGTTGCGTATTGGTATGAGTAGAACATTCCTTTATGCAAAATCACTTTATGTGATAACATGTAAGCTTATTACAGCCAATTTACTTCTTGACTGCTCATTTTCGTCAATTTTATTATGATTGGTGGTACTACTGACTAACCAGCACACAATTAATCATTACTATTTATCTTGTATTAACGGTTATGCACTAATTACGTATAGGCAGACAGACAAAATCAACCTGGCACACAAGCGCATCGGTTTAAGTTGACACATTTTACAGAAGTATTGTTAATAAAAAGAATAAAAAAAGGTATTATATCAAAGTAGACAAAGCTGTATGACAGTACAAGAAACTTAAAAATGAAGGTCCTTCATAAAATTCAAGCTTTGGAAGACGTCAAAGAATAAATACATCTGCTCTTAGATGACCGATTTTAAACCATGTCACAGGTCTTCAACCATTGATTCTTATAATCTTGAGGACTCCAATCAGGCAGTCTACATCTACCTACTTTGCTCCGACCAAGAGTAAGAGACATCATCGACCGTTGCCACCCTGATCCCTCTACTAACTTAATCAAACTTCTGCCAGCATTGCACTCCAAAGTAGCTTGGAACTTAGCATGCTCAACACATGTCCAAGCCGCCTCAGTCGCTGAAGTTTCATAGCCTCCTTGACAGCCTTCCTTCCTTGCTTAGTACCCTTCGTTTATTGTCTACATTGCTCAAACGGTGATGTTATTAGTCGCAAGCAATGTTACAGAAACACATCTGGTTAAAAACATGTTATCTTTTTATATCTTCTACTTCAAAAAGCTATGTCTCACTGTCATATAACGGAACAAAATAGACTTCAGCGCAGTATACTCGTCCTCTAACAGGTATTTGCATATCTCGTCAGCAGGTGGGGCAGATGGCGCAAATTGGCGAATGCCAAGCGAGCTTCATGTGTCCGACCTGATATTTCTTCAGCTTCGAAACCATTCGAGCCGATTCGCCTCTTCAAGTAAGTGAAAGGAGTTGAGGTAATCCACCACTTCATTCCTTATCATAAATCTAAGAGTATTTGCAGACCAGTCCATCATCTTCTTTGTCCCGGTATCCTTAATGAGTCTAAATAATCGCCGGATATTACGTGGAGCTGATGCCTTCTCTTTCCACCACTGCCCGCGGTTATTACGAAGACTTCTAATCGATATACGTCTGACCTGCTTTTTCTCCTCAGTGTGATCAGAGGCAGGTTAAGTCAGCCTTTCGCATCAATCAGTTCAGATGACGTTGCGGAAATCCAATGACGTTTGCTAACCTTCATGTATAGGTTACTAATTGTCTTTACCCCTGTTTCTACATCAGACTTAACATGACACCAGGTTTCCTCATGATGAGCATTGCTGTCATATCTAGATAAATGCCTAGCTAACTCGTCACTAAATACGTACCTGTCGTTTTCATCTTAAATCGAGCATATACATTCTTTACTATCAACCGTTTCCTGCAAACAGTGAAGTGCAGATATATACGTATCCGTACTAGCGCGTGATCGGAGTCCAAACTGGTACTCTAGAATAAGCGGCAATACCCACCAATCCCTTCCAATGATAGGTTATAGCAAAATAACCTACTAGTGTCCATCTTTGGTTTGATGTTGTAGGACGCTTCGTAAGACTGTCTCTCCTTATGCCTGATGTTAGTGCTGGCCAGAAACAAGTGATTCAGAACAAAATTGCAACAGACGATCACCGTTGTTGGTTCATTGGCATGGGATTCCATAAATACCCTGAATATGCTTTTCCGATCGGTTCAGCTTCCTTACTTGAGCGTTATAGTCACCTACCACTATGACTACATCTGGATGTTTTGCTTTTCCTAGAAAAGTTGACAGCTTCTCTTAGAATTCATTCTTTGCGTCATCTTAGGAGACTAGGAATGAGGTCCCAATGGCTTTGATTGTTGACAGTGGCCGCAGAGTGAGAGGTTGAGTGAGGTATAAGAAGCATAATATCAGTATCAGGAGTTGAAGGCAAAGAAGGAGACAGAGTTTGGTCGGATAAGTTGTGTTTGATTGGATTTTCTTCACAACTGGTAGCGTGAGGGTGGTTGACACTTCCTGGTTGCCCACGTTGTATAAGTTTTCCTCGAGGTTACCTCAAAGAGAAAACGAAAGAGATCTATGTGGCCGCAGAGCTCATGGGACATCTCTTTAAGCCCTGTCACTCACAACATCTTGAGGCTTGTTGGTTTGACGTCTAGTGCTGGATAGGAGACTTATACCACCGGAAGCTGGAGACCGAAGAGCAAGATGAATTGCATCAAACGTTCCTTCCCACTCTTCGTATAGAGTAGGTAGAATTGGCATGCCATTACTGGTATTCTGCTGGAAATAACTTACTGCTGTCACACTCCGTCAAACCAGCTGTAAGACTTAGTCCTCAGTGTAGAAATCTATACCATGATGGTGTGCTCTGTATCTTACTACTGTCCAACAGACCTTTTCTGTTGTGGGAACAAACTTTCGACCAGCATAGCTTCTTGGATCATTGTTATATCCAAACCCAACCATTAAATCATGGTAGCACTGGTAATCAATTCGTGTAAATCTATGTCGTAATAGAGATAGGTAAAGCCTGATAAGTCAATGACAGATTCAATCGTCTTATATCGTATGTAGTCACTGATTAGTATCATCAACATTCAGCCAATAATTGTGGTTAATGTTGTAATATACTAGGATAAAGATTTAGATTGTACTCTATGCTATGCGTTTAATTACATACAAAAGCCTATCATCATTAAATTCCCGGTCCAATGTATTTGGAACATACTTCGCCGTGTCATTCTACGATGCCAAGTATTACTATTTGACGAAAAGTATGATCTTTCAGCTTCCAAGCCCTTAACTAGTTGCACTTATAGAGTATCAGCCATGTACAAACCACCTGAATTCATTTAGATAACAACTTGAGTTTTCTGTTTGTTTATTTCCAATGATTATTTTCCATGATTACCCATACTTTCGTTGACCTAATCAAATTTTACTAATTTCGTTTTTACCTTACAGTAGTCGGCTGTTATTTGAGAATATATGGTTTATATTCTCATCATCCGCGTTTAGGTCCTAAATTAGTTATGATACGTAGTATGTTGATTGAGTTGTTAATGTTCATATTCATCTTGGTCATTGTTCTTGTCGGTTATGGTGTATCTCAACAAGTTTTACTCTATCCATATCGTGCCAATTTCACATGGACAACTGTACGTGATGTATTTGTCTATCCTTATTGGAATTTATTTGGTGAACTTATGCTAGAGTATGCTTTCGGTAAGTTTATTTGAAGTGGATTCTTCGTGTAAAATTTAAGATGATTTTCATTTCAATTCACCATCAGTCGTCGGCTTGCCCCTTTCTACTGAAAAGGTAGTTTGTTGTCGTATTCGATATCTGTTGTTTACATAAAACATTGTTACTGATCTGAACATTTTTAACTTGGCATTCTCACACAATTTTTACCGCATGACTAGTAGTTTATTTTCTGCCCCTATTGTAATATAACTCGCTGATTGGTTAGTCTTTATTTACCCTTACTATACCAATGTCTCAAATTGCCGACAAGGTCATATTTCATGTGTATACATATTCACGTGCTTTTGGATTGGTTGGTTATTATATTCCCGGAGGAATAAACTCTCGCATCATCCAGCTTCGGTCTTCTCTCTACACGTCCCGGGTTGCAGTTAGTGGCTCTTGCGTACTAAGTTAGCTGTCAGTTAAGCGTGCGTACTGTATCCGTTCGGAATATATAACAGTTGGCGACGGAGGTGTTAAAGTGGAGGTGCAGCGACTAGAAAAATTTATGGAGCAGCAACTGAAGATGATGGAACTGCTTGCTGGTCTACACGTCACTCCATCTACATCCACTCCATCTTTTTGGGATGATAAAATTGGTTCCAGTATTTCCGAATTTATATGCAATCTAGATGCCAACATCACTTTTGATACACAGTTTCGACGATACGAAGACCTCTTCAGAATTTCTCAAATCAAGACGATGCATGGAAGTTAGACTTCTACTCCGAAAGCTCGGTTCAGATGGATTGGATAAATATTGTAATCTTGTCGTTTCACAGAACCCACGTGACTAAACATTTGATGAAACAGTAGGAACTTTACGGCAGCAGTTTGGAGAACATCGCTCACCCTTCAATGCCCGCCACCATTGCATGAAGCTGGTCCTCAATGAAGCTGAAGACATCCATACCCAACTTGGGATTGTGAATAGAGCATATGAACGATTCAAGTTGAAGTCGCTAACAGACGAACAATTCAAAGTACTCATATTTATTTGCGCTCTTCAGTCAACGAAATTCGTGGATATACGCACCCGCCTGCTGAATTGTCTGGAACAAGACTTAACTTGGCATTCTCACACAATTTTTACCGCATGACTAGTAGTTTATTTTCTGCCCCTATTGTAATATAACTCGCTGATTGGTTAGTCTTTATTTACCCTTACTATACCAATGTCTCAAATTGCCGACAAGGTCATATTTCATGTGTATACATATTCACGTGCTTTTGGATTGGTTGGTTATTATATTCCCGGAGGAATAAACTCTCGCATCATCCAGCTTCGGTCTTCTCTCTACACGTCCCGGGTTGCAGTTAGTGGCTCTTGCGTACTAAGTTAGCTGTCAGTTAAGCGTGCGTACTGTATCCGTTCGGAATATATAACAGTTGGCGACGGAGGTGTTAAAGTGGAGGTGCAGCGACTAGAAAAATTTATGGAGCAGCAACTGAAGATGATGGAACTGCTTGCTGGTCTACACGTCACTCCATCTACATCCACTCCATCTTTTGGGATGATAAAATTGGTTCCAGTATTTCCGAATTTATATGCAATCTAGATGCCAACATCACTTTTGATACACAGTTTCGACGATACGAAGACCTCTTCAGAATTTCTCAAATCAAGACGATGCATGGAAGTTAGACTTCTACTCCGAAAGCTCGGTTCAGATGGATTGGATAAATATTGTAATCTTGTCGTTTCACAGAACCCACGTGACTAAACATTTGATGAAACAGTAGGAACTTTACGGCAGCAGTTTGGAGAACATCGCTCACCCTTCAATGCCCGCCACCATTGCATGAAGCTGGTCCTCAATGAAGCTGAAGACATCCATACCCAACTTGGGATTGTGAATAGAGCATATGAACGATTCAAGTTGAAGTCGCTAACAGACGAACAATTCAAAGTACTCATATTTATTTGCGCTCTTCAGTCAACGAAATTCGTGGATATACGCACCCGCCTGCTGAATTGTCTGGAACAAGACCAAAGCTGACATTGAAAGATATTGGTGAGGAATATCAGCGATTAACTAATGTACATCAAGTTACCACCCTTATACAAACTGGTGGCCAGAACGTGACAGAAGTGCATGCTATAAACAACATAAGTGTCGCTATTGTCATACGGTGGGGCAAAAGGATAGGTTCTGTCACCAGCGAAGTTCAACTAACAGGAAATAAGACTTATCTTGACGTCTATCTACATCAGGATCCCTCAACATCACTACAACTTTTCATATCAGTAGCCCAGTACAGCGGAAGTATGTGACGCTCAATATAAATGGTCACCCTGCTTATCTCCAAGTAGATACAGCATCCAATATTACAGTGATTTCCCGGGACTTATGGTTCAGCCTTATTATCATTTTTCTCTTGAAGTCCCGTTTTCGCTGCCTCTTCTGTCAACTTGTTAGTTTTTGACTGCAGATCTTCAAGTTTGTGCGGCATTAGACACAAGTCATCGGCGAATTCCAAATCTTCTAAGATCTTTTCTGCAGTCCAGCGTATCCCCCCTCTTCTCGCTCCTCACAGTTTGCTGCATGATCCTGTCCACCACAATCAGGAATATCATCGGTGATAGTAGGCGGCAGCCTTGTCTCACTCCTTCCTGTCTTCACTTCAAAGGCATCACTGAGATTTCCATTGTGGACCACTCGGCATGTGGCGTTTTCATATAGCTGTTGAATGAGGTCGATAAAGGTTTGTGCCACTAAAAGCACAGTGTTGAAGCAACTGGCTACCAAATTACTTCTCGGTCAACGCTATCCAAGGCCATTTCAAAGTCGGTGAAGTTGAGGTAAAGACCCAGTTGACTGCCATTCTATGCTCTGTTCTATGATGATGCGCAGCATAGCGTTGTAATTTGATCTGCACATGATTTGGTTTTCATGAAGCCAGCTAGCCAGCGTGTTTCGGTCGTAATTTTGAATGTAGAGCATTTTCTGGTCGCTCCAGGATGGTGCGGCTTAATATTTTGCTTGGGGTGGAGCATGATTCCGCTCCATTACCTCTAAAGACTTAGGTCTCTGTTGATTGAGAGTTTGACAAGATAGCCCTTCTTCCAATTGTCTGGTACATTTCCTTCCTTCCAAACTTTCTGCGATAGTGTTGTGAGCATGTCCGCTGTTGTCTCTGTGTCATGGTCCAGCCTTAGTCAGTCAGAAATGTTGACAACGAGACAAGCAGCTATCACCGCATGTGGCGGTAGGCTTCAATTGGTTAGTTAATTACACTGCTGTGTTTCATTTAGAAATACTACTTTTGACGGAGTTTGTTATATTGTGGATGCTAATCTCAACCTATTGGGTCTTGACTGGTTCGAGAGTTTAAAACTCGCCGACTTTTCATTGAATATGGTGTGCAACAAAGCGGAGGCAGCGTCAGATGTTCGTACACCTAACGAAGACCCAGCGACCCCGTTAGTATCCACAAGAGATTACGCAGTTAACATACACAATGGTTGTGCCGTCCGCGCACTTCGTGTCATGTCAGCTCAAGTGGGAAATGACTCCTGCAAGGAGAATATCATACAGAAGGTCATGCGTTATGTCCAGACGAAATGGTCACAGAATACGTTTACCGGTGACCTGAAACAACTGTTCTGCAGAAAAGAATCTCTTTGTGTCGTCGGAAAACGCATAGTGATCCCCCACGCTCTTCGTGGAAAACTCAAAACAGTTTCACATTGGTCATCCAGGAACTGAGCGTACGAAAGCCATCGCCAGAAGCTATGCTTATTGGCCCAATATGGATACTGACGTAGCTGGAATTGTCAGTTGCTGCGCATCATGTCAGAAGGTAGCTAAGAATCCTCCACGTTTTCCACTAAAAGGTTGGCCATTACCAGATCGACCTTGGGCTAGAATCCACATCTATTTCGCGGTTCCATTACATGGAACCTACTATCTGATTAATGTTGATGCTTATTCCAAATGGCCGAGATCATCGCGGTATCGTCCTTGTCATCACGCTGAACGGTCACTGCTCTTCAAAATATCTTCTTCTGACACGGGTTTCCCGAGACCATTGTTTCAGATAATGGGTCACAATTCACCTCCTGAGAGTTTGCAATTTTGCAGTATGAATTCAATCCATCATATTCGTATACCACCGTGCCATCCGCAATCCAGTACCCAGGCAAAGATTTGTTGATCCCCGTGGACGAGCTCTTCTTAAAGCAGAAGAAGGAGGAGGAGACATAAATGTCATACAACAATTTCTATTCATCTGTCGCCCCAACGCCAAATTACGCCCTACCAGATCCCGAGTCTTCCGCAGAAATTTTAATGGGAAGGAAGCTGCTTACGCCACACCACGCAATGCTACCACCACGTCACACACTAACAACGCAAACAGTTGGACCGCACTTCAACAAGAGTGACACCAACTACGTACGAGATTACAGACCAGGAAAATGGCATGTGGATGGAAGGTGTTGTCATGGAAATAATTATACTCAACTAGTCACCATTTCGTTTTTTATACATAGTTTGGGCTGTTAATGTTTAGTGACTGACTATGGACTCTAAAAGGCAAACGATATCGAAACTCTGTATAAGTTTATTATTTTCAAGGGTTTGAATATGTTCACATTGTAACCCGAAAATATTTTATAGCATTCGGTAAAACTTATTGAAGACTTTGAAACAATTAGTCCCTTTTATGAATTTGGATAATGTAATTAGAAGACGTAGATTGTTCCAAATGTATAGCGCTAATAAATCACATTTTTCAGATAATCTACGTCTTCTAATTACATTATTGAAGACTGTAAACTTCTGAACTCCAAACGTTGGCGAATATACGCAAACTTACGTTACTAATTCCAATCTGTGACTGTTAAATATAACCCTTAGGTTGTTTGCAGTTAAGGACGAACATGAAAAAAAGGTCAAACTCATTTTCCCCCCTCTAGTTTTATGCCTTGTACTGCAGTGGGAAATCATTTTCAGTGTAAATTTTAGCTACTAACAAACTGCAAGTAGTGTGACTAGTAAATCAGAATATTAAAAGAAGCATTTTGTGGTGATTCGGTAAATCTGTGAATGGTACGTAAACCGATTTAAGGGTAATAAATCCGCATAGTTGTAATTTGAGTGCTTTGTATCATTTCATTGATAACCCTTTACAAATCACTCACGTTTACATGTGGCTTTCCAAATGACCTAAGAGACACGGTTTCACCGACTTTTTGTGTCTTCGCAGATGAATGCTTTAATCCATTTATTTGTCATGAAAAAATCCACCACTCTGCAAGATTTGGTTGTCGTTGAAACTTTGATATTGTTACAGAGTGGTCATAATCGTTTCGTTTGTATTTACAGAAATTATCTGAATTCCTAGTTGAAGTTGTTTACAAGATGACTTTTAAGCACGTCACCTATCTACGACTATTTATACTTTTAACGTTCATGTAATTCAACTGACTTACTTCTCTGCACATCTTGAGTCGATGTACCGTTATTTAGTTTTATGATGAATAGTCGTTTACTGAGTAGTTATCTCTTTATGTGTGACTAAAAAATCTCTGAGGACGCTCTACTCATTGCACCCACTCAATGGGTTACTAACCTGTTCACCATAGGTAGTTTAGTGTTGTTTACAAAGTTAAAAGGCATTTATCGAATTATCATCGAGATATTTTATCAATACAGTTATACTTCCTTCAAAGATGCTGTCTTCATATTTCACGTATTGTTTTTTTCCCACTATGAACATTTATCTTCAGTTTACCTTCAGTCACAAAGTTTTGAGTGTGCTTTTTTATCATTCCTCACAGCTGAAAAAGATGGATGTACAAATGGTACTGCAAATAGCGAAGATTGCCCAACATTTAACTTTTTATGTCCATTATTTTTGGCTGTTTATCTGATGATTGCTGCAATTCTGTTGATGAATCTTCTGATCGCAATTTTCAGGTAAGTAATTTTGTTTTCTTTGATCAGTAGTCGTACATAAATCGCACTGTTTGTGGATAAATATTCATTTTGTCGTCAAGTTAATCCACGCTATACATGACAACTTTCTACTTGAGGATTAAGGATAATGTTGAGAAATGGCCTACAGTTGAGTCTTACTTTAGTGTATGACCTCATTACAGTTGCCGCAAAGCTGTACTGGCATATCCGTTTGGCACATATGCCAAACAGTTTCTATCGCTACTTCTGTCGTTTAAAACTTCACTTGAATTGTAAACTAGAGTCATCTGTACACAATTCATCGCACTAAATATCTGATCAGCTTTTCTAATCTTTCATAATAAGTAAATCTACTGAACACACACACACACAAAGGAAAAGGAGCCAAGGTGACAATAATAATCATGCTAACCAGACCATTTACATATTTCGCATATGAGTAGCAGAAGGTCTTGGTTATGCGCAATTGACGGTGTTGGCGAACCCACCATATCCAAGTTACTGTAACCAGTTGGTTTTCTATGTGTTATTTCCTCAAAATATAGTGGTTATTACTATTTCCATTATTTACTCACTGTTCAATCATGTTCAAAATGTTCATTGTCCCTAAAATTAAGATTCCTTAACTGATGAGTAAGAGTATCAGGAGCTAATAATTATTCTAAGGTTTTTTCTTCAAAAACTGACGTCAAGTGTAAGACGTTTCTATACAACGAAACGTTGAACACATGTTTTATTCTAGTAATAAATTAAAAAAATGAATAGCCTTCAGTGCGTTGAGGAATATGGTGTATGTTTGTAAATATGTGCATGTATACATGGTACTGACTGGTGTATGTACTAGAAGACAGATTTCGTTTTGTGTGAAATAACTTATGCAGATGGAAAAGTAGTCGGAGAGGATTGGAATTCATGACCAGCGTCATGCTTAAATTTCTGCACTTTACAGTGATGAAATCATCATCAGAAAGAGTTTAATTCATCCTCAGTTGCCTGCGCTTTCATCCTTTAAATATGATCAAATCAAATTTATGTTGAGATATATAGTGTATCGCTATTTGTTGTTATTTCTTTTCGCTTTGCTTTCCTTATTCACTGTAAATTCAGTAATGTATTTGAGAAGATTGAAGAAAACTCAATCGAATTGTGGAAATTTAACATATTGTCAATGGTATTCGAATACAGTCATCGACCTGTTCTCCCTGTGCCTTTCTCTGCGATGATAGCTATCAGTGAACTTATTCTGTACTGTTTTCATGTTAAACCAATCCTCTCAAAAATTAAACATGGTAAGCTTTTTTTATTGAAGTGATCACATTTTTTTTCATTCAGAAACACTTCAATCTTCACAAATTTACTGCAGTTTAGAAGATTCATTTTTCAGTCTTGATAGTTTGTATCTGCGTGTAGGTAAGATGACGAATGGAATCCTTATGAAAGGAGAAGCGTACTACCAAATAGTTCGAATATGTAGTTGTAAAATACAGCTTATTGAAGTAAAAGAGATGAGAAAATTTAAAGCTGTCACGGATCAACTTGAATGATGATTTGTTTTATCGGTGGTCATCGATTGGTCGATGGTGGTTTCAGGTACCCCAGTATTTAAATAAATTGGGTCGGTTATTTGATGAGTGTATGAAACTGAGTTGCACTATTGTTATTGAGAGCTTCATGAAAAGAACTAATGAATCACATAACACTTCATCGGGACAAGCTACTGAAATCACTTGTAGTGAAACCCTCATAGCTGACATGAAGCTAGTGCTAATTTTATTGTCCTTGAGGAAATCATCCGGTATCAGGAAATCATCACCATCAAAGTCATCTACCTGAGCTCTAAATATTCTCATAATCACATCCTGTTTAACTGGTTTCTGTAAAATACCATAAATTTTTATGATTTGGAATCTTTTTGACATTTTTTTCCCGTCTTGTTGGTTTCTGCCTCTTATGTTACGAATTGTCACAAACTGAATTGATTGGCTATTGTAGTTGATCGTCGTCTTTTTCCCTTTTTTTTATTGATTTCGCTGATTAGATTTAGTCCTACAATCATAAATCTCGTCATCATTATCAACGTAATAACTAAGTTTAGCTATGAAAATTTTTGGCCTTTATAGAAGTAAAACAAATAATTTACTATAGGCAATGGATGCGATGCGCGTTGTGGTTACATAACAGTTAGGTATAAAATTGGAGTGGTCCTATGTACATTTCGTCATACTATCTGGAGTTTTTCATCTCAAAAGCATAAGAATTCAGTTGGTGTATCCACTTCACCTGGATATGCGCACCCAAGAGTTGGTGTAAGTCAGAAAATTGACTTGTTTTCTCGTAATAGTGATAAGTGGTTCTATATTTAATAATGAGCAATATGAATTAGTCTGGAGATTGGAAGAAGGGCTACCTTGTCAAACTCCTGAAGAAGGGAGACTTAATTCTTTGCAATAACTGGCGTGCAGTCATGCTCCACCCCTGCCCACCCCAATCAAAATACTAAGCCTCATCATCCTGGAGAGACTAAAGGATGGGCTGGATTCAAAACTACGACCGTAACAGGCTGAATTCGGGAAGTACAAGTCATGTGCGGATCAAATTGCATCACTACGCTGCGTATCGTCATAGAACAGAGCATAGAATGGCAGTCAACTGGGTCTTTACCTCAACTTCACCGACTTTGAAATGGCCTTGGATAGCGTTGACCGAGAAGTAATTTGGTAGCCAGTTGCTTCAACACTGTGCTTTTAGTGGCACAAACCTTTATCGACCTCATTCAACAGCTATATGAAAACGCCACATGCCGAGTGGTCCACAATGGAAATCTCAGTGATGCCTTTGAAGTGAAGACAGGAAGGAGTGAGACAAGGCTGCCGCCTACTATCACCGATGATATTCCTGATTGTGGTGGACAGGATCATGCAGCAAACTGTGAGGAGCGAGAAGAGGGGGGATACGCTGGACTGCGGAAAAGAGCCTAGAAGATTTGCATTTCGCCAATGATGATTTATGTCTTATTATATCAATATATTTTCTTCTCACCTCAGCTCCAACCTAATTACATTATGTCTCACTTTTATAAGTGAAGAATATTTCTAGACTGATTATTGTTTTACAAACTTCTTTGACTCCCCTTTCTTTTCAGTTGCATTACATCATGGTGGCCAGACATCTGTGGTTCATTTCTTTGTGTGTAGTGTACACTGATGAAAAGAGACGAGTATAAGAGTCTTGGTAAACATGTTTGCGTTCATTTTTTCAGTCATCAATCACCCTGGAACAACCATCAAACCCTGTTTGAAACTGTACCTGAATAACTTGTTGACGTGAATCTTGCGATATATATATATATATATATATATATATATATATATATATATATATATATATATATTCAATATTTTCCATTCACCAAGTTGTGTATTTTGTTTTCAAAATCTTCAAAAATGATATTGACCTTACTTTTTAAGTGACCTGTGATTTTTGACTAGGAAGTTTTCACAGTAGGAGGTAGTGTTTTCATCTCTCTGTTACTTTTAAGTGTGTGATATTCAGCCATTTTAAGGTCGTAGCACTTCTGGGGAAGTATTATGCTTTATTTTCTCATTTTATTCCTGTCCCCCGTAATTCCTGTTTGATCTAGTCAAGGGTTTCAATAATCTTTTCACGTAACAGTAATAAGCTAGATACTAAAATTGATCGTGAACAGCTTTTAAGAACTCGTTTTGGACGTCTAATGATTATAGGATCTTTTCAGCTTAGATAATATCTACCGTGTATCATGCATTGTGATTGTAAAATGTCATTTTAACGACAACCTCAGGCGCATATCGGATTAAAATAGTAAAGAACTATGCGTTTTTGGATATCAGGTTGTCACCTTCATGTGTACAGTATTAACAGCGGACTACTCCTGTAAACTCCCACTTAACATATTCAGAGATGTGCATGCGCATCAACTGTTCACCTTAAGATAGTAAGCAAGTAGTCGGAATAGATTCATTTAACTTGTTGCATCCAGTTCCCATTTAAATCTTTAGGATAAAGTAGATGGGTTTCAGTAGTCCATCGGGCTATTACTGTGTGGTTTTCTGCTTCTTGACAACGTGAATAGCAGAATTTGAGAAAGCTGTTAAACCAAATACCAACTATATTAACTAGATAAAACGTTTTGCTTACTCATTTCTAAAAGGTGGTTGATTCGAACAATTCATTTGTTTCAGGTTTAATTGTATCTCACTAAATGTAATAGAGTGTTACAAATTGACACAAGCAGGAAATAATCAACTACTGAATTCCAACGAAATGACTAGGCGAACAGTAACATACGCTGTTGAATATTTGATAGACCTGGGCTTGATCCCTTACTAGGTCATGGGAGTGCACTGGTCAAGAGTTCTGCACTCTGACGAAACAGCTGTTCAGTGCTTATATATTCCCAATAAGAGTCCTTCTGATATCGATTCATGATGAGAATCATTTTTAAATCGATGGATCCCTACCAACCACTATCTGAATTGGTTGAATAATTAACATTTCATATCTGCCTGTTGGTATTATTCAAGCATGTTTTTTTCAGTGTATAACAGTGCTTCCTTTCATGAACACATTTTATCTATCACTTGAAGCCTAACAATTCATACTTTTTTTATTACTTTTTACTGTTCATGGAGCTTTTGAAGGATTTCTGAAGATATACTTTCCTATTGTTGTAGATTTTACAGAAACCATCCAGTAATAATCAACTTTGAGGAAATGAACTTTCATTTGACTCATGGTGCAATCATGAAACTTTTTAGACAGTTATTTAATCAACTGTCTATAGTTTGCCCTGTGTTTCACATGATCATTTTTCAAAGTATACTGCTGAATTTGATCAGTAGTAGGTAACCATTCACACCAGTCAACGATAAGAATATATACAGTCATTTCTACATAATTTTCCTATCAGCATTCATTACTACTCTCTTTAGATAAATCTCATCATAAGAATTTCTAATATAGAAACATAGATATAAATGTTCGGGTTACTTCATGATATCTACCTTGAAACACAAAGCTTTGCAGTTTACAAGTGATAGTCATGACTGAGTGGTGGTAGAAGACAAACTCGTTGGTATCATACTATTAAATACATATGCAACGGTGAAAAATACTGATTCAGAGTGTATACTCTAACAAACAATAATTTACCAGGTGTGTAACTATTTCTTCCAAATACCATTTTGAAAATGTTTTTCTGTTCACTTAATTTAGTTGTAAATAGAATCACTTCAATTGGTCACTCTACAACAGCTGAGAATGTCAATGGAGAAACATTATCTTTAACTCTTGTGAATTCGTTAAACTCTTCGGAAGAATGTACTGCTGAGTGTTACAGTACTTCGAGATTAGTACCAGATTATATAACACTTACTCCAGGAATAGTTGATTGCAACTGCAATTACATTGATCAATGCTTTAATGCTAAACAATTAGAAAATTACTGTAAACGAAATTTATTGAAAAAAATTCAATGACCTGAAGTGGTCAATTAACTACGACAATGTAATAAGGCCAAAGGTTAGTTCTGTTTTGAATGTATCACGTTGTTTTGAGTTTTCCGGTCATTTAACAATTTCCAATGACATCAGTTGATTTTTGTCCCAGTGGGGGGAACTCTTCAGAGCAGCCCACACCCAGGAGCTTCAGGTTCCGCGGCCAGCACGTTCACAGTAAGCCACTGGGTCGAAGTCCAGTGATCCTATTTTCTTACTTCTGCTAGTTTACATTATAGTGCCACCTCGCACTAGGACGCATCAGCTGTTCAATGCTCCCAATTTTTTAATGGTTCTCCAACTAATATCAGTCTGTAATGACTACCAACTTTCAACCAATTAAATTAACCATCACAAACCTCTGAATTGAATTTTGAATGATTTCTAGACTATAGAAGTGTATCGGCGATTCTCTTCGTGTCCCAAGTCCTCTCAGGAATGTTTTCCCAGTTGTAATTAACAGAAATAAACACTTCAAAAACTCATCGGTCATTATCACTTTTTCAAAGCTTTACCTTAAAATATAAACTAGCATGGTGTTGAAATACTTTTTATCAACACAGTTTTAACCTTTATTATGTATACATTTGAACACTCTCGTCCCAAGAAATGGATACCTTTAATCTTTTGAAAAACATACCATCAAAAAATAGAGTGTCGAATAAATTTCAACTCAACAGTCTACATTCTTGTACACTAAGCCATACTTATTATATAAGAGCTTGTATAACCAGGTGCGCACCCTGGCAAAAATAGGTGCGACACAATTCGAATTCACGACTATCTGATATAATTTTGATTATTTAAGCTGATTTATCGCATCTTCGCTACAATTAATCTTCAGAAACTGGCCCCTATGCAATTTATTTTACAAGAATAACTTTCTGTGTAATCATATCCTGAATGTGAGCAATAATTTATACTTGGAACATCTTCCGGTAAATAAATAATTCACTGTTACTATTAGTTAATACGGAATCACATTCTATCACAATGCCTAAGTTTAAAGTTTAGTTCTGAGAAAACGTTTTTGGATGATGAAACTGAAATCATTCGTCTAAACAAAATTTACCATTTTTTAGTGATCATTATACCTGCCGTTAAATAATAAATCAGGTTAGTCAAACTGTGACTCAGTTTCCTGAAACTTAAACTTATTGGTGGATAATGGTTAGCAGTAGAATCCAAGACGAACGTTTCGTCCTATTTGAGACTTGTCAGCTGGACATACTTGCCTCCCAGTGAGCAATGTTGTTCCTACTGACTCGAATCGGAAACTGATCGCTTCAAACGCTAGAGCGTTTTCCACCAAACCACAGAGTTATTATAGTCACTTCTTGTGGGAAGGGTATATTTCTTTTATTTTGTTGCATGGGGACCAATCATTTTGGTCCAATCAACGGTTAGATAATCGAATCAACAATATTAAAAAACAATTACTGATGCACAAGAAGCAGCTATCGTTACTCTGTGGCCTGGTGGATAACACGCTAGCTTTTGAAACGACTAACCCCGGATTCGAGTCATGGTGGGAACAACGTCACTCACCGAGAGCCAGGTACGTTCAGTTGATGAAATGCGGGTCCTGGATTCCACTGCTAGCCACTATCCGTCATTACAATAATAAACTGAAATGACAGGTTATATCGAGGCACTCACACAGGAGCCCATATGCCAATGAGACTGATCAATCCGGTCCAATCAACGATGAGGTAATCCAAGCAACACTGTAAAATAAACTCACTGTAATTAACTCATCAGTTTCAGCTCATTTCAATCACTATAATTTCAGTTACCAGATAACACCGTTGCATTTCACACTGCTTACGGTATACAGTTTAGTTCAATGATGTATCAGTAGTACCTTGTGTAGAAAATAACTTAACAAACTCTGTGTGTGAATAAATCACTTTTGAAATATATTCTTTTATACATATAACTTGGTTAACTTATTTTAGAACTGATCCGTCTTTATACAAATATTTCAGTTAGAAATGTTTTTTCTCATCACGTGGATTCTGTATGGTTATTTTAGTATTAACATGGAAAATTCTTTATTCAAAAGCTTTCCAAATTCTTCTCAACTCCAAAGTACACTTTTGATTTCATAATAAAACATTTAGCGACACAAATATAGAAGTAATGGATTGTCTTTTTGAATTTCTCATGATAATTTTATTAGTAGCAATGTTGTTTTCAGCACTTCTTTTCAACTCCATGTCCATAAAACAACCAGATGATGATGGAAAACTGAAGTGAAGAAATTTCTTGCATCTCTTTGACGATATTTATGCGTTTACGAACCTAATTGAGTTCATCGTGCCCCTCTTCATATCCACCATAAATTCATCCTCAAAATTAATTGTCTTATTTATGTCAGATGGATCATAGGACTTTTTAGCCATCTGGGAGAAAGTTAACTCTAGTAACTAATTTTCAGAAGATGAAAGCAATTCGCTACGGACTTTGGTGATGAAAAACAAACAGTCGTTGGGAAGAGTAATCCCTGTCGTACCAGTATATAACTTTAGAGAAAATCCTATAAAATAGTTTCACCTAGCTCCAGTAAAATGTCGATACACTTATACTGGAAGGGGGGCGGGTTGATTTAATTGTTAATAACCATCAGAAGCACTTATTAGTATATTCTTATATATAAATTTTTGTAGAGACTTGCAGTAAACATGGTAACCTATTAGTTTTTTTAGATGTTATTAATGTATTAAGAAAGATACCGTAAATAAACTTAGAATTAGTACAGGAGTAGAATTCAGACACTAATAATAAACTATGTTTCCGTTTCAAGTCATTTATCAAATGTATCACAGTGAAACTGAATTATTTATTGGACAACTCCTCAGGCACAACATGTTGTTCATCATTATGTCGATAGAGCTCTGCAGCTTGGTAATGTCAATTATTACAGTTCTAATTCCTTTCTATTGTGTTGTTGTACAGGTATTTGAGATGTTCCCTTAAGGAACACTTAATTCACTTTCAAACATATAGTGTAAAGATGTTAATCAGGAATTGTATTAAAATTAGATTTTCAAATTACACAACCACAGTGATCCAAGCAGTATAATTTTCATATGCAGTAGAAAGACATAAAGGATTCCTAAACAAAAAAAGGTTAGTGAACTAAAATAAAATTTTACATTAAAGTGAAAAATTAGTCGTAAAGATCTTTAGGAAGCTCTCGGTTATATTGTGTTCACTGAAATGAATCGTTTAAACATGTTCAGTAAGCATTTGACTGGTTCTATACTAAAATCTTATAACCGTCAACTTCGTAAATGTTGTTCATATTTGACAGAGAAAGTTTAAAACTATTTATTAAGTCTGTCAAACTGAAAATGTGACCTGACATTACTTCATAATGTCAGCGCATCTTACAATATTTAATTGATGATATTTACTATATATTCATTACTTGATGTAACATGAAAAGGCAAACCGAATCGCCTAGAATGCCCATTTTCATCGTTAATCGTAATTTAAAATTTCAATGCTATGTATATATGGAAAGCGTTTGTTCACCCTTTTTCACTGCTTTGTATTCTTGTTTAACATTCTAACTGTATGATTTATAAACGCTTATCTCATTGTTATTTCAATACATCATAATATCATCATAGTCATTTTACTTAATTTATTTGCATTTTATCTCAATGATATTCCCTTCCATCGTAATACCTTATTTTCAAATCATCATCTTGAATTATCAGATCACTTCATATTTATTGACTAGCCTTGAAGTGTCTTTAAACCTTTTATCTCTTATATTTTTTTGATTCGTTTGATAATTTAACATCATTTTCGCCGTATTACAACACTTTACACATTACACACCTTATATATGATCAGGATACTCGGAAACAAACAAACTTGGCTTTGCTAATATTAAGTAATCGCAAAATATTTCGTCTATTAGCTATTGTGAAGCACTTCAGCGCATTGACTTCATGCTCCTTATCATATGTTCATTTATTTATTGCACTAAAGTATGACAACGAATCTATGTGACGTAAACTTTAGGTTTGTTGTATAATAATTCTATTTAACAGCCATCTCTCTGTTTCTTTTGTGTATTTACTTCGACATTGTACATACGAACTAATAAATACAGTTGAAGTTAAGGGCAATCGAAAATCTGTTTAGTTCGAACTGTGTGATTGATGACTCTATCTGATGCAGTTAGCTACATGGTTCTTGAATTGTGTTTTCTCACTGTTTCACGTATTCGCTTGTCAATTGTGTTACACTTGTGAAACTGACTTCAAATGCTAAGGTTGAATAAATCCGTTACATATTCGTGATGGCTCGTAGTCTAACACAAGAGTGTTTATTTAATTGCTGATTTACATTAAGGTATATGCATTTTAATTATTGAAGAAAGCGTGAACCAACTCTACACTTTGTCTCTATTAATTATATACGAAGATAAATTCATGTACAAACACAACAATCGCGATTTATATCGTAGTATTCACAACTTCTAGTTTGATTCACTTTTTTATATCTTTGATTTATGTTTAATTTAGTATTTATCCGAAATTTTGTTTTGAAATCATATGATAAGAAAACTATATTTTTTTTCTGTTATTTAGATTGAAAAATAAATGCAACTTGTTCAAATGCTACACCAGAACGTCTTCAATACAATTCATAAAAATTTTAATACAATAAATAATCAGTATACCTTTATACAAGTTGAAATCTGCAATAATATGACAATATCATTAAGTTGATTTCTTCTTCATACCTTCGAATGACAGAGTAACTTTATCTTTTTATATATTCTTTGTTTTAATGAATCGATTTACTTGTAATACTATACAATGGTCATATATTTTTTTTTGCTGTTCAACCTTATTCCTGTCTTACCAAACCTGTGAAATGAACAAAATCAATAGTTACATAGATAGGCATCTGTAACGATGATAATGAATATATTTTGTGTTTTCCTAATGTCTTCTTTTCTATTTAATAGAATTTGATTGCACTCTTCATGTTCTTTGTAGATTTAATTCAATTGTGAGTACATAGATTAACTTGTTTTTTGAGCTCGGATCGAGTTTTAATTGCCAACTAAAAAAACCCAGCTGAAGTGGTAACTCACTTTGATCTACAAATATTTTTCATAACATGGCAAATTTCATTATTGTTTATCATCTTTGAATCATGATCTTAAAGGAAGAACTTTTAACACAATCATTATGAAATAACTATGAACCTCTCTATTGTTTTTATCTTTTTTCATGCTTTAGATTTTTTTCGTATACCGGTTAATCTATTTTTATTGAAACATTGATTTTTTTTTCACCTGATTCTCTGTAGAAATTTTTTTTTCCATGATCATTTCTTTTTGTTATGTTTGACGAGGAAGGTGTTCCTCTGAATTACATTGATGACTTGCCTATGTCAATTCGTAACAGATGATACATTCTAAATTGATTGGATTTTCTGATCGCTTTATAAGCTGCCTACAACCTTAATTATAAATAATTATATACTGAATGCAAATACTTATAATCTAGGGAATCTGTATGTTTTATTCATGTTTTTATTTATGCACACCTTCTGAAAGCAAACGAGAAGATCTATAATCGTTGTTAGGTTAGACTAGCTGATAAATTTATCGCCTAAGAAGGTAAAATACTTCTAGATAAGTAAGAAAAGATTTATGGGACTGGGACTCAGGTGGATGACTATCGACCAGCGAGTCACGGGTTTAAGCTCATCTCCATCCATGGTTGTTTGGGAAGCCAGGTGGTATCACTAGTCCTCACATAATTGGTGTAGCTCATTGCTTACTGCACGGATATGCACTAGGTGGTTGAGTGCGTTTCATTTATTCACTCAAGAAAGGGGTTTTAACTTTAGTGAAAGAATATTCGGCTCCAGAAATGACACAGTGGTCTAAAGAGTTACTTATGGTCATCATAACTACAAATGCAATATCCCTGTTAGATACAAGAAAATAATTTTGAGTATGTTAATTATCCTCTCTTACCAATGAATTCCCAAGACTGCTGGACAGTTTGTTACATCACAGTCCAAAGACTTTATGCACTCTGACAAGCAGTTCATCGGAAAGTTAGGTCTCAGCTTAATTTCACACGAGTGATGTTGGTTTGTCATGTTGGTCGCTAACTTGTATCCCCAACTGATAACTCCAACCTTGGTATGGTGGTCGGGTTTGCATATCACAATTAAACAACCAGCTCTCCTGATGGGACGCTTGTTCCCTCCAGGTTTTACCATACCGGAACAGTCAGTTGGATAGTAGTAAGAAAAAAGTAATTATCATTGTAGTGTAGATTTTTAAGCTAGGATGGGAGTCTTAGAGCAAAGTCGTACTGCTAGCTGAATGGAGTGTGACAGCAGTAACGTATTACTCTTGAATAACCAGTAGTAATTCATCTACTAATATGGCTAATCCAATAAGTTCATCCTTACAGTTTCGGGAGATTGGTTTGGCTAGTTCTCTCGGTCTTCCATGTGTAGGTAAAACATCGAGCACTAAGGCAGGAAATTTACTCCTCAGTGGGATCCGAGTTGCCTATATGTTGTTCGACTGAACAGTACAAACCGGGGTAAAAACTAGCCGTAATCTCTGACTACGCACCTACTGACTGCAGTTCGGAAGAGGTGAAGAATGAATCCTACCGAAAACTGTCTAGCTTTCTGCTGAAACCCAAGCATTCAGACATGGTAATTGTTGCATGAAATTTCAATGCACAAGTAGATAGCCTATATCAGGCAGAAAGGTACTTTTAGAATCTTAGCCGAGTGAGCAGGTGAAAGTCATTGCCTGCTACAAAATTACTCAGATAACTACTTATTTCTAGTCAATACGAACTCCAGACATGAAGAGAGCAGTTGTTAGACGTGGTATTCACCCACTTCAAGTCAGTGGCGGACATGAATAGATTAGGTTACTATCAGACAACGTTGGAGAGGTGGTGAGGACTTTTGCACGTGCTTGAACAGCGATCACGCATCCAGTTATGTGTACGTCTGCGCCTAAATGGACATACCAGAAATATCACAACAAGACTGTAGAGAGTGCAACTCTATAATAAGAACACTGAGGATGCTTTCAGAGAGAAACTGGCTAGATGGGTGCCACTCGTCTGCAAGAAGCTTAGAACCATCTACAGTCTTCTGTAAAGAGAGCATTGAATATCTTGACAGAGAGTGATCAGAAGAGGCCAGCGGATTTCTGCAGCCTCTTCTGAATAAGTAGGTGCACGCGAACATATCCCTGAAGGCTCTGAGTACACTGAGGTGCGAATGGACCTTAAATGTAGACTGACAAAAAGTCTACGTAAATAGTGGTGGGCAGAGAAGACTAAAGATATGGAAAAGTCAGTGGCATTAAGTAGCAGCGGACAGTTATGTAGACTTATCAAAGAAATTGGGTCGAAATATCAGTGGTTAGTGAGACTATAGTAGAGAAATATCGGTCTGTGAACTACTCACACAGAGGAGACGGCTGAACCAAAGGTAAGAGCAGTCCAACCGGCTTCTAACTACTATTCTGCTGCCTACCATCCAGTTGGACCCCGAAAAGAACATCGAGTTAGAAACCCCAACACTTGCAGAAGTCAAGAAAGCTGTAGGTAACCCGAAACAATGAAGAGCATCACGGCTATACGGTCTAGTTCTAGTGGTATTTAAAGGCTGATAGGGGGATTATTGGTCGAATTAACTGAAGTATTAGCTAGTGTGTCGCAGTCAGATATGGTCCCCTTTGACTGAACTCAGTCATTGATTATCTTCAAAAAAGGTGAAAAGTCCTGTGACAACCACAGGAAAACCAGTCTGACAAGCATAGTGTCTGTGATCCTAGGCTACAAAATCATTAGATGTCTGAGTAGAGCTCAGATATAGGAAATCTGAGAAAAACAGGCAGACTTCAGTCTTGGGTGTATCAGCCAGATATTCACACTGTATCAGGTGCTTGAACGCAGTCATTTACCGACACTGGCTGTTTTCTGAAACTGAGGGCGGGATTCACTGCCGTTGCTTGTGGGGTCTTATGACTGCCTGTCACCAAAAAGAGTGTAGAATAAGTACATCATTCTATTGACGGCTCTTTACTCGAACAGCCGTTGGCGTGGTAGAGACTATGATGAGATTTTATGTCGAGTAGTATCCACCAAGGATGTCCATTCTCTCCGTTCCTGTTCAGTCATATCATTGACGTACTTATGGAGGTTCCCTGTCACCGTCTTACTTCGCAAGGATCAATCATCACAGCAGCCTTCTTAGTAGATCTAAAGTAACTGGATGACCTAGTTCTGTTAGACGAAGATGCAGAGCTTTCTGGACACCTTGAATGACAACATTAGAATGGTTGGGATGCGTTCCTGTCCATCCAAATGCTCTAGAACTGGTCTTCAGCGATGTCATGTCTAAACAGTAGGGAGTGAAGTCATGGAGTGAGTTAGCCACTTTCCTTACTTCGGAAGTCGCACAAGATAGTAGTCGACAAAGTCTATGCACGGATGCAAAATGCTTGACTGGCCTTCGCAAACTTCTGCCATCCTGTCAGATTGTCCATGAAGGACCTAGTGTTCTGCTTTGCATTTCTCTCTGTTCTAGTGTATGGCTTTGGAATATTGCCAGGCGCAGGGTTTTCGGGAGGAGAGGAAAGTCAGTTGACTCGGTTGTGAATCTTCATCGATTAAGGTGGGTGGGATATATTTTACGGATGCCTAGTCACAGTCTACCTCGTTGCACGATGTTGGCTGAAGTCATTTTAGGCTAGAAAGTTAAATGCGGTTAGGGTGAAACACATTATCATTGCATGAAGTAGTTGACTGTTGGTCTCCGCCGTATAGGGAAATTTAGACTTCCCGGTTGGTCCCAAGTGACAGAAGAAACTAGTACAAGTCAAAATCGATCTCAGCAGCACAGTTGTATCCATGCGTTATCTTCATATTAGTCGTCATACCGGTTTCGATATTTTGTTATTCACCCTTTCTCTGTTCTATTGCTTTTGACTGATTCTTCTCTGTTTCTTTATCTTTCATCTGAGTGCTTTCATGCTAGATGTGCTTATCAGAGGTATGGCTACTTGGACCGTTATGCAGTAGTGCCTAGTCCTATGTTGTTGATGATGATGATGATGACTCACTTTTTCCTCCGATATTCTTTGTCTTCTGGGAAATTACTTTATATATTTTTCTAATGTACATTTTCTGTTTCAAGCATTTTGTAGTGACCGTTAACCCGTTTGTTTTTACCACAAAAAGCTACTTTAAACGGGTGCTTACTGGAAGTAGAAAAGTTTGAGTCATGAAAGCGGTTGGTTTGAATTTGTAACTAAACTTTTTCAAAGTCTCGTCACTGAAATAGTGCTCCACAGTCATTCTACTAAACCCAAACTGTCTCTGATAGTCTAGTCGATAGAACAGATATAATTGTGTAATTTTAGAAAATAATCTGGTTCGTAAATGTAGGTGTATCATTTTAAAAAATGTGCTATTGATGTGAAGTTATGTGATGTTCAACCTGCTATTTAATTATGACTATTTTTGGCTCAGGAATTACAATAAACTGTTTATCGATTTGTTTGAATTGATTAATTATACTTTTGTGAAGTAATTTAGCGCTAAAACATTCATTGAGATGAGACATCGTGTAGACGTTAACAGTGAACCATATTCCGCATATCTACCGCCAAGTAAGTATACTACTTTTTACTTGTTGATTCTGACAATGAACACATTATCTTTGAATGTATTATCAAACAAAATAATTTTCTATATGATATTTCATTGAAACTGTTTCGAGATGCTTTCTTCCATAGTGTGCTACCACATAAAATGTCACAGGACACTACAGACCATAGGATATGTGAATTCCAACTTTTCAAGTATAAATCCTTAATTTTTTTGTACTAATAACTTTATTTTCCCCGAAAAATGCTATTCTATGATGGATCAGCTCTCATCCCTTTGGATCAACGAAGCTCTGACTTCAACAACAAACAACAGAAAATGAAGCTAGATGATATTCACGAAGACTGTAGGATATTTACACTTTTTCACTCATTAGGTACACTATAGAAGGTCTAACCAACGAACTTTAGCTGAATGCCGCGATAACAGTGTTCTCACAAAACGACTTTGACGGCGTAGATTCGTTTTTTGGAATTGGCTAGATGTATTCTTAACTGTAAAGTCTTTGAAAATGATGTAACACTTGTTCGATGATATTTAACCAATGGTTTTGATGATAACAATATGAATTTATGAAAAAAATTGTCTTGTTAGTCAAATTCCAAATATTACAACGATTCTTAAAACTCGTTTTTTGTAAATTGAATAAAGTTTGATGGATGCGCCTTTTTTACAATGATTCAACTAGCGAAAACTGTAGTATCCATATAGTATTCTGCTTCAAACAGTTGACCACCACTTCCTCTGGTGCATTAAAGTTTCAAGAAGTCTACCATACAAAGCAAAATGTCAGGGAATTGAAGATATTGAAAATAATGATTACATATTTAATGATACTTAAAAATCCTAGTCGTCTTCATAAATTTCGAAAAAATAATGAGAAGACCTAGTGGATCTGAGACATGTGATATATTATTTCAATACCCTTCGAATAATCTGATGACTCAATTAACATAAGTGATCAATCTAATACAGGGTGAAATTGTCTGTTTAGCGGTTAAATTGTGGGTGAAACGAGAAAGATGCATTATATTGATCACTTTTGATATCAAAGTGGAATAACCAAGTCAGGGTTACTGTAACAAGAAATTGTTTTTAATACATAAAAGTGTTGTTTCAATAGACCTATATACCTACTCTGAATAGGATTGGAACTACATTTAAAAGATGCATGTGGATCAACCGTGTGACCCGTCTTAATGATATGTTTAGCTATCGATTAAGTTGGACGTATA